AAAGGTAAAACATACAGAAGAACTAGAATTAAAATAAAACAGGTCGAAGATACTATTCGAAAAAACTTTCAAAACATTAAAGAAGAACTTTTGAATAAACTATCAAAATATAAGAAAGAAATGGAAGAAATTAAAAGTGAGGAAATGAAAGGAATACAAACTGAAACCGAATTCTTTGGTATGAAGAAGGAGAAAAACCTTCAAAATATTTCTGCCATCTAGAAAATAGGAATTTCTAAAAAAAATCAATTAATAAGATAATAACTAATGATAAGAATGAAATCACTGACAGAAAAATAAATACTTAATGAAGTAAAACTATTTTATAAAATTCTCTATGCTTCTCAGGAACAATATAAGGAAGAAGACTGCTTAAAGGATATTAAAACTCCAACTTTAAACAAAACACTAACAGATCATCTTGAAAGAGAAATCAGTTTGGATGAAATTAGCAATGCTGTTGACAGGATGAAGAATAATAAAAGCCCTGGGATTGATGGATTTCCTATTGATTTCTTTAAAAAAAATTGGAAAAGATTAAAAATTTGGATCAATAGATTTATTAAAGAAGTATCAACATGAAAAAAATGAAATGTCTTTGAACATGAAAGGGGTGTTATCACCTATATTGCGAAACCCCAAAAAAGATAGAACATTTCGAAAATTGGAGGCCAATCACTTTACTTAATGCTATTTATAAAATTATCAGCTCCTGCATTGCACATAGATTAAAAACTACTTTAGATGAACTTATTCACTCTAACCAAACTGGTTTTATACCGGGTAGGACTATTAGTGAAAATACAAGATTGTTATATGATATAATGTTTGAAACAAAGAAACAAAACATTCCTGGTTTGCTGATTCTGATTGACTTTGAAAAAGCGTTTGACACTGTTTCAAAAGATTTTATCAACCTGGTTTTACATAAACTTGAATTTGGCCCTGAAATGATAAGATGGATAAATATATTAACCTATGAAACAACATCTTGTGTTATCCAACATGGTAATCTATACGAGTTCTTTGCAAATGAAAGGGGATGTAGACAGGGAGACCCACTATCCCCATATCTTTTCCTTTTTGTGGCTGAGATTCTCGGTTGCATGATAAGAAATAATGAAAACATCAAAGGTATTGTCATCAATGATAATGAATATAAACTGGATCAATATGTCGATGATACTGAACTATTTCTTGATGGAACTGAAGAGAGTTTGTACTCTGCTATTGACACAATAAATAAGTTTTACAAAATGTCAGGCTTGAAAATTAATTTAGACAAATCAAAAGCAATCTGGATTGGATCCAAAGCTAAATCTATGGATAAAATATGTAATGATCTGAAAATTGAATGGGTAATTGGTGAATTTGATGTGCTAGGTATTCAATTTACACCAGATCTTAAAGACTTATGGGTAATCAACACAAGAAAGAGACTGGAGGGAATTAATAGACACTTAGCATCTTGGAGAAAAAGAAATTTAACACTTATTGGTAAAATAACAGTAATAAAAACTCTAGCAATCTCCAAATTGGTCCATATTTTCAATTCCTTGCCCAACCCACCAGCAGAATTTATCACGTCCCTTGACAAAATGTTTGTTAAATTTATTTGGAATGACAAGAATGATAAAATAAAAGGAATGTAATTAAAAACAACTATGAAGAAGGAGGTTTGAGAATGATTGATGCAAAAACATTTATAGACGCTTTGAAATTATCTACTTTAAGACAGTATTTCAAAAGAGGTGATAAGAATAATCCATGCAATATACCTTTTAAAGACATATTTAAGTTTGGAGCAAATTCTGAAACTTACTTTAAGATTGAAAATCCTTTTTGGCGTGATGTGCTAAAAGCATGGCAACTATTCCACAAAAAACATTATATTGACCCTAATAACATTAATGAACTTCTATCCCAACCATTATGGTTTAATCATAATTGTAAAAATTCATTAAACTTCATAAGGAACTGGGCAGATAAAGGGATTATAAATATTAGGGATATTTGTGATGAAACTGGATTATTGTCAATAGAATCTTTGAAAGAAAGATATGGTATCAAAGGCACTTTTTTAGATTATGAATATTTACTACATGTATTACCTGACTCTTGGAAAAATACTCTTAACCACTGTCATTTAATACCAGTTAGGGATTTAAATATTAACCAATGTCAGATATATCTAGTAAAAGCATCTAAGGCTGCAGGACTTTTTATGATAAACTTATTTCCAATGATATACACCCATATATGTGTAATAAATGGCAGCTGCTATTTCCTGAAATAGACTTTGATTGGAAAAATATATTTACAGCATACAGAAAAGGATTGCAAGACACAAAACTTTTAGATTTTCAATATAGATTTCTACAAGGAGTTATTTATACAAAAGAGAATTGCTTAAGATGAAAAAGGTTGATAGCAGTCTATGTTGTTTCTGCAATGATCTAAATGAGAGTGTTTGTCATGTGTACTGGGAATGTCAGGAGACACAAACCTTTTGGAAAAACCTACAAATTTGGCTTAACAATTTATACCCTCATCCACTGCTATTATCAAAACATATGGTTTGGTTTGGCACTCTACATCATAATATATTACTAAATCACATCATCATTGCAGCAAAAAGACACATTTACGTATGCAGTATTAAAAATACGCATCCAAACATAGCTCTATTTATAAAAACTTTGAAGGAAATATTCTTTGTGGAAAACCATATATGCAAAAGAAATAATAATATAGAAGATTTCAATCATAAATGGGGTCTTCTCTTCCCAGTACTTTGATGAATTTAAAATGTATCCAATTTACCTGAGGTCATATTTCTCTTTTATGGACTTATATATGTGTATTAACATGATATTGACATAATACCTGTACATCATCCATCTGTCTGTACATCACTGTTCTACATATCATATCGTTGTTATCCTGGGAACCAATAAAAAAAAATATAAAAAAATAAAAAGGTCATATGCAACCAAAAAATCAAACATAATTAAAACACAACTATCACTTATTCATGACATATAATATACATTGCTGATTATGAAAAAACATAAAAACAAAATTATAAGCGTACAATCGCAAATCAAAAGTGCAATATTTTGTACTTGGGTTTACTTCCCAAGAAACGAAGCAGCCGGGATACCGAACCAAGTCAGAGCGGGTAGGTGTGCACTCACGTGTAACGGCTGGTTCATTTGCAGATGCCCTCACGGCTCATTGTGTGTGTATATATAGAGATGTTGGGTTTTGTAAATACATGCTCTTTATTTTTGTATAACATTTTGCAATCAACAGACATCAGAACATGCCATGTGTACAAGTATCACACCTGCCTGTCTGTGTAATTACATATTTTGACAGAGACCGAACTCGGGCCATAAATCAATGCATTTTGTTTATGGTGTATAGCCTGATTGGTGTTAAGTTCAAATTGCATGTGGTCAGTGATAGCAGCTGTGTATTGAATATTGTCATTAGCAGACAGGCAGGCAGACACACAGGTGTCAATAAAACAAGACATTGAGTTTTGTCTGTGACAACGACACATCTATATCACAGCTAGAAATTCTGTCGACGCTAAGTAATGACATTGCTTTTAAGTATCGAACTGAGAAAGTGACTCGGTAAGAAGAACGTGTGGTGAAATAGACGAATGAAATTATATAAACAGTTAAATCGGTAATCTACTGTAAGAACATGTAAAAAGCTCGCGCCTGTGAAATATCAACAAAACATTACAAAAATAGCTCACACCAAAGCCTTCACCGAATATTCACCGGACAACCCGCTTCCAAGCTTCGCGAACCTATTTCACTGCGCATGTGCTATGAGCGCAGCCCAGCTGTTGAAACCACTTCAGTTCCCCCAAGCGCTGGGGGAAAGTTAGTGAATCGTTTGAACTACGATTTCGCGCGGGTTTTTTCATCGCGTTATTTTTCAACTTTATAAGTTGAATTTGCATTTTTGATGATTTGTTTCAGTAAGTCCATACCGAAATGTATCAGAATCTGCAAAGTTGTGCTTTACGTTGCATGTGACCTTTAATTTGCCGTCAGATTTAATTTCTGGATGGATGTGTTTTTAAAAAAACATCAAAATCTTACACTATTTCATCCAATCACAGCTGTCACATGTCTCTATCTCTTCAAATGTTTACATACGTACTCGCTCAGGGAGCATGCGATTCTGATTTAGTGTCGTGGAACCTGTGTACACCATCACCTCCCATCTGGTTCAGAGATTCTCACGTCGGAAGTATTTTTTCACCACTATGTGGAAACCGTGTCAGATCTTTGAATATTTTTGGATGTAAATGACAGACGTCTCCGAATACGATGACAGTCGAAAACTAAAAATTCACAAAAAATCTTAAAAGTTATGAAAAGAACAGCATTATGCTTGTAAACAGTTGGACAATGTGCGTTTGAAAACACGGGACAAGAATGTGTCATTGCAGTACTATCTAATGCTGAGGCAGTCACTGACCAAACACTATGGCGCCACTAGTCATGGAGGTAAGGACCGTTCATAATTTATGGCTGAACGGGGGTGGGTTGGTGGTGATGATTTTTATGGAGAAACATGTACAATCTAAACGACCCCTCCCTCCCCCCCTAAAATTTATGTACAAAGTAAGTGACCTCCCCTGCTCTCACGTACAAATTCAATTACCAACCCCCACCCCAACCCAACCCACCCTTTTCTTTCAATAATTTTAAGCATGGTCATTATGGTTGAAAGAATACGTTACCCCAGAAATCTATACGTGAAAGAATTCAGTGTGACAAGCAGAACATGCAGAACATATATACGTGAAAAAATTCAGTGTGACAAACAGAACACCCATCGTTTCTACCATCGATTAATTGCTATCGGAGACTTAACAATTGCAATCCATCGATAGTTCGATGCATCGTTACAGCCGTTACAATTACAATTTTATCACTGCTGCCTGCTGCAGCGTTCCAGCAGACACAATGTAAATGAAAAACAACATTGTTTTACAAGAAGTTACACTGACAAATAACTAATGTTGGACAATTTCTGGTGCCTTGGTAGATTTGTCGTATTTTGTCTCCCGACATGCAATTTGCAAGCCAGGTGTGCAGCATTTAATAGTCGCCTTCTTCTGTCTTTAAGATTTTGGCCCACCTAAAATCAAAACCAGAATACATGTACATCTAAACAGAGCAATTATCTGAATAACGTGTTTGTACCTCGGGTATCTCACAAAAATGGCTTCGTAATACAATATTCAATATAATCCAAATTGTAACTTGTTTATAAACAGTTCTCCGAAGCTCTGTTATCCATGATCCATTCCTGATGATGATCCCACTGAGATCATTGTTACATCATGTCAGGTTTTCAACGCGCATGAAGCTGACACACCGCAATATACCTGAGAGGCTAATAAAGGAGCGTTGAACCAAACTCACTTATATCAATCTATCAAAAACTAAAGATAACAAGACCTGTGAAGATCCGGATCAGGCTCGCCGACACACGTCATCGTTTCCCAATCGATGCTCATGCTGTGATGACTGGATTGTCTGGTCCAGACTCGATAATGTACAGACCGTCGCCATTTAGCTGGAATATTGCTGAGTGCAGCGTCAAACTAAACTCACTCACTCACTTAAGAAAAGTGATTTTGCCATCAATGATACTTACTTCCATTTACATGTAGTTCTCGTTTCCATCTTTGTGTGAAGGATGGAGTTCAGCATGATCAAGTGCTTTGCAATTGCGTTTACGACGACGACGACGACAACAGTAGACAGCTATTCCTACCAGGAGCAGCAGGAGCGGCAGGCCTATCACTACGGTCCACATAATGACGCAGAAACTGCAACACAATTGGTATACGTTTATCTTTTTTAAATACACAACCCCTGAGAAGATATGTAGGTCCCATTTCTTTCAGAGGTTTTTTCATACCACGTGATTTTAATCGTAGAATATGTGTTATTTTAATGTATGGCTAATTTAAACTACATTCGACAATGGCTGATGTAAATCTAGCTTGGGTCCATGCAGGTAGCTAAGGTTCTGTAAGTCCTTAGTATGGTGATCTATCCTCAGTTGTTCGCGACCTATAACCCATTTTATATTGTGCTGTTAAAGACAGAAATAGTGTTTTACGGTTATATGCTAGTTTTAAGACTTTAGTATAAATCTGTGATAAACTAGTTATTTGACTGTTCTTTGCAGACAGGTAAGTATATAAGTTATTTTTTATTTCATTTATACATTTACAAATTTACAACTTTCAAAGTCACGATATGGCTGAAATACTGCCGATGTGGCTTTAACTCACTCACTCACTTAAATAGACAATAGCATTATTCAACAGAAACAAACAAGACATATAAACAGAATCTTTCCTATTGCCATCACTAAAATGATATAAATAGCGGTATTTATGTTAAGTATACGACTTCGGCGTAAAACAAAACTCACTCAAACACTAACTATTAAGTGTCTCAGAAATAATACGGTGGGATGAGTTGGGTTTGAGGTTAAATCCATGAAGTAATATTCCGTTGACCACATTATTCAATAACCTTTAGATATATTGAAATGTCGAATGCAATGTTGACTCACGAAACTATTGCCTCACAGAATAGATATATGCTCTGACAACTTTGGATGCTTCATTATGCTCGGAAAGGATATATTTATCTAACGTGTAGATGTATCTGGGCTTGGGTTCTTACAGATTGAGGGGCGGTGAGGTAGCCAAGTGGTTAGAGCGTTCGCTCGTCACGCCGAAGACCCGGGTTTGATTCCTCACATGGGCACAATGTGTGAAGCCCATTTCTGGTGTCCCCGTGATATTGCTGGAATATTGCTAAAAACGGCGTAAAACCATACTCACTCGTTCACTGTTACAGGTTGATGGAATATAACGGTTGTCTGTTTTAAAGTGATGTAGTGAAATGACCTCGGGATCGCGATTGCTTCATATATATTTTGTGAGGTGAGGTGAAATGGGGTTTAACATCGTACTTAAGAATATTTCGCTCATCTGACGACGTGCATGCGTGTGTATGTGTGACTGCTTGTACTAGCCCAGACTTCAGCTGGTTTTATAGTGCTAGCTCACTGAGATACCATGCCGCAGTTAAGCATGAATACCCCACTCAGACACATTATACTGACTCCGAGCCGACCAGTTCTTGTTGTACCCATTAATGCTGAGCGCCAGGCAGGGACAAACAAGTACCATATTTTAACGTCTTTCAGTATGACGCGGCCGGGGATCGAACTCGCGACCTTCCGCTCTCCGGGCGGACGTTTTAACCACTACACCACGGATCATATATTATTATATATAGGGCTGTTTATATATCCATGTGTGCGTGAGTGTGTCAGCTTCGAATGATCCAGACTTATTCCAACTCTGATGCTGTTCCACCGAGATATTGCGCCGGAAATTAACACTCCAGGCTAGCTATTCTCGAAACGTTCGTAGCCCTACGAACTTCTTAAGCCTATTCTTCACACATTGGCTACGATCAAAGTAAAGAATTCTTAGGGCTACGAACATTTCGAGAATAAGGGCCCAGTATACAAATCCGACCTGACCAGTTCTTATATAACAATAATCCAGTCAATGCCGAAAGCCAGCAGGGGCAGTTCGTACCATCTTTAACGTCCACGTGTTTGATGCGTCCATCAACTGACATTCTGTTTTCCTTCAAGATGCCTCAGCCCATAGAGCATGGAGGCGGTTGCTAAGAATGGCCAGACAATAGACAGCACTGATGTAAGCAGAAGTAAATGCGGTGTACGATCAATAAATATTGATCATCTACAGGGACCGCCGCTTAACCACCTTCAGTTACAGTATAATCATTCGTTCCCCACTCGTGTTATTCCGGGACAACCGCATTACCGACTCGTGCCAATCTGGAAAGATTATATTTTGGCGTATGAACTTGAAACAAGAATGCCAACTCTATTTCTGTTTAATTCCAACAGTAATTAAAATTACTGAAGCACTTTTAAGATTTTAACGTGTTTTGGTCAATAATAATGATGATGATTTGTAAAAACACATTCTGATGTAATTATTAGCAGCTGTTCATCTTATGTTTTCGAATGTATATTTCTAAAAACGGTTTCAGAATCTCACATGCGATTTTTTTCCCTGCACAGGCAATTAGAATAACATTTTATTTAGTCCTGTAATAGATAACGAACATGACTTTAGATATATATCTCAAACTGAATAGTTCATGGACAGCCCTGTCATGTCAGTGCAGACGGTGTCTACCTCTGAACTTTAAATAAGCAAGCTTGATGCCATACCCATGCTGGCATTGAAGATGTCAAGAACCCCAAGAAACTAATATACATGTATATTGTTTTGAAACTGGTAGCTATTCATAATGGCATTACCCGAAAATGTCGGAAGCCTCACGTACAATCGATAGATGAAATGCTCAATTCGACCCTTGAGAGCCGTTATGTAAACAAACTCACGTGTGTGATTTTGAATCTCTTACCGTTTATGGCACTACAGCTAATGTCAAAGTGACGATATGTATTTTCATAAATACATAATCGCATAATGCCATACCGATATAAGGACTCGAGGTGATTTTATCAAAGTACCTCAGTCGTTACGCGCTTTCCGATTCGCGCATAATATTCCTCGAAAGGGGGACGAATGTCGCGATAATAAAAAGAGACGAGACAGCGATAGCACACGATGAGAAAGCAAGATTGGGAGCGAAAGTCGCTGACTTTGTGCGCTGGTTATTGGGTACCTGACTGAGAGGATAGGTTCGAATCCCGGATGAGACTCAAATTAACAAACGAACTAGAATCTGTACTATACTGAAAAAGTGTAATCCTGACATAATATGTGTTACATTTGACCATTTACTAAATGGCATAGTGCATTCACAGATTTTAGAAATGTCTTCAACTTAAAGTCACATATCAGACTTTTGTTTTATGACATTGTGATGAAATCCTCTTAACATATTGTTAAAAATAATTCTTTCCGTTCTAACAGTCTCTTGAAATGAAATTCACTGCCAATACGATCGCATGCACGCACGCACAAACACACACACACACACACACACACACACACACACACACATACATACACACATACATACATACATACATACATACATACATACATACATACATACATACATACATACATACATACATACATACATACATACATACATACATACATACATACATACATACATACATACATACATACATACATACATTATCGTTTTAGAAAGTTAGTAGCATATGACAGTGTGTACTTTCATCCACAACAATAACGACTTGGTGGGAAATGTGTAAAAAGTGACAGTTACTTACATTGGTGGACTCGGCGAGCAACCCACACACGAACACGCTTCTGCAAAAAGAGTGATTGTTTTGACAGGATATAAGTATTGCCTGGCGCATAGATTAGCACAGATACATTCACCAACACACCAGTCACTCAGTTGATAGAAAACATATTTTATACGAAACACTCTTTACAGGAAACACTTTACAGGAAACACTTTACAGGAACACACTTTACAGGAAACACTTTTTAGGGAACATACTTTACAGGAAACACACTTTTTAGGGAACATACTTTACAGGAAACACTTTTAGGGAACATACAGGAGGAAACACTTTTAGGGAACATACTTTACAGGAAACACTTTTAGGGAACATACTTTATAGGAACATACTTTACAGGGAAACCCTTTTTAGGGAACATACTTTACAGGAAACACTTTTTAGGGAACATACTTTACAGGAAACACTTTTTAGGGAACATACTTTACAGGAAACACTTTATAGGAAACACTTTACATGTAACACATTTTACAGGAAAACACACTTTACAGGAAACACTTTATAGGAAACACACTTTACAGGAAACAGGCATTACAGGAAACACACTTTACAGGAAACACACTTTATAGGAAACTTCCAATTGTCAATACCATTTATAAATGTGGACCGCTGAAAATTATTCGTGGCAGTCAGATAGGCAATATCATAGGATTGCGTTCACATTGGAACTGTAAAGATGGCGTTGCTGGTATATAAAGTGGGATCGTTGCATAAGAATAATATCTTCTCCTGGGTAAACACTAATAATATATTGTCCTGGGTAAACACTAATAATATATTGTCCTGGATAAACACTAATAATATATTGTCCTGTACTTCAAGCGACATAATGTATGGTTTAAGGTGTACTCGTTGTCATCACATAGCAGTGGAAGAAATGGCGACGGTTTACCTGTACCAGTTCCCATCAGAATCAGGAGGATGCCAATGGTGATGATGAGAGGCTTGGCCATGTTCTTAGATGCTGTTGTTCTGTCTGGTCAACAGGATCAACATGGAAAACATCAAACCACAAGTTACTATAGTGGACAAATGACTATTATTCTGATAAAGTTTTGATAGCTTACATCCGAGAGAACCTTGAATGCCATACAACGACAAGAGAACAGTTTGCGTGGTGCATATTATCATTTACAAACCATTTCGGAGGCAAGGAAGACATTGGCAAAGGTTAGCTTATGTTATCAAGCAATTCAATTGGTTTATTGATACACAGTTGTTGGGCGATCTATAGCCTGTTTTATATTGTATCGTTATCTATCGTTTAAGTATTTTAGATTTAATTACTAGTTTTAAATATATCTATCTGTGATAATCTAGTTGGTTTTGCTGTGCTTTGTCGACAGATACTTTAAAATGATTACCTTGTTTTCATCGCTATATGGCCGTAATATTGTGGATGCGATGTAAAATTTTAACTCACTCACTCATTGATACCAGAGAGTGTAGCTTGTTTTCTGTCCTTCCTATATATGGTCTTGATCTTTTGAATTAATGTCAACAGATGCTAGTCCGCGACAAGAATTTGGCCTTCCGGAAATAACTTAATACGAAACGAAGGGTTAAGATTGATTATCAGGAAAACCGGAACAGTTTATTGTTTTAAATATATATCATGTAAATGTTTCATGTTCAGACAAACTCGTATTTTAATCTGAATAGAATATAGATATGACCATTACTGGATTAAAGGATGTGCTCATACGTCTTAGCCTAAATCTAGTACTTTTATGAAATACCACACTCGCTTTGTAAGTTCAAGCTTAATCACACGGACACTGAATGAGAATGACCAAAAACATACTTGGAATATTTCGTCGCTCTGTCAAGTGACGTTGAATGGCCTGAAAAATCCAAAGAACAAGTCTTGAGACCAGGAGACGCCATTGTGGAATGGAAGCTACACTAAGATTGCTATATCTACATGTAGCTTTCTATCGTTAGTGATCAGTCGAATTTACAGTTTCCTGATTCTTTAAAGTCTACTTTCTCCATGGAATCATGTCTTTTGAAAGTATACTTGGCGTGATTAGTAAAGGGTCAAACGATATATAGCACATGTAAAGAAACGTTTCTCAGAACTAATAGAACTAAGTGTGTCATCATAATGTTTGATATGTTGACAAACGTGACACATAGTGACATACAGAAATGTATACTACGCTCAATGTGCCTCGTCTTGAAGATGAAGGGTCATTCTGTAACTACCTTAGAATGGAGCCAGCTCTTTTCGACGAACTCCTTGAAAGAGTTGGCCCTCGACGAACTCCTTGAAAGAGTTGGCCCAAGAATTGCACAAAAGGACACAAACTGGTGAGCAAGAGCCTGGTGTGTACCTCGCTGTGACTCTCAGTTTCCTTGCTCCTGGGCACAAACATTTTGATTCAATCAATCTCTTTATTCCAGTACTGAAGAGGCCACAGGCCTATAGTACAAAGTATGATAACAATAGTGGCATACAATCACAATGTTTGCAGACGTTGGGGTTTTCTATGTACAAAAGCATGGTGGATATACATACCAAGGTTGCGAATATAAGTTGTATTACTGGAGGTCATTAACAAATTAAATTTACACGTGGTAGGATATGAATGGTAATATTGTCGTAGATATTTTGTCCTTAAATCAGTGTAGTAAGGACATACCAGCAAAAAGTGGAACTCATCTTCAATTACATTTAATGTACAAAATTTACACAGTGTGTTTTCTCTTGGAATATTATAATATCTGCCTTTCTCGATCATAAGATCATGTGAAGAGCATCTAAATCTGGATAATGAAACGAGGAATACTCTGAGATTAATATCGTGGAGGTATTGATCTGTATTTAAAACAGATTTAAAAGTACTGTAAAAGGTGGATTTAGGCGACTGTATTAAAGATGAATTCCAATTCTGACTTCATATCTTTTAATCTTTGCGATAAAGCTTATAAAATGACTTTGGGCAGGTAATCTTCTGTGACAGAAATACATCACTAAAACCAGAATGATTCAGTAAATTCCTAATATTCGTTACCCAATTTGATTTGCCGTTGGTGTCAAATAAACACATCATGTTATAACATTTCTTGGGAAATCTTGATACAGGCATATTCAAAAGCTTTACCCAGTATTTTATAGTTTTCATCTGTGCTTCTAAATAAAGTGGGAAGCGACCGCATTCACCATAAATCATCACATTTGGGGTATTTGATTTAACTCCTAGGACTTTTTTACAAGCGTACAAGTGAACCTTTTCAAAGCTTCCAAACGAGAAAAAACCCAAACCTCTGCCCCATATAGCAAAATTGGTTTAATTTTTGTATCAAATATTTTGAAATTTGCTTTGAAATTTACATTGCCCAATTTCTTTAAATTACTGTAAATGCCCATAAAAATCTTTCGTCCCTGCAAAGCAGCACTATTTCCATGGTGATACCATGATAACGTATTGGCAAAATGGACACCTAGATATTGATATCCTTTAACAACTTCTAAGTAGTCTCCGTTATATAGCCACTTTTGTTTTTTTGGACAATTTACCTCCATTCTTAAAGACAACAACTTTTGTTTTATTTTCATTTACGTTAAGCTTAAATTCAAGGCAATGACTTTCCAATAAGGTAATTTGTTTTTGTAGACCCTTAACTGTACTTGAGAACATGATAACATCATCAGCAAACAATAACAAAAATACCTTAACAATATCCGGGTGCAACTGAATACCATCTGTACAATTATGATACACAACTGACGCTAATTCATTTATGAAGAAAACGAACAGAAATGGGCTTAGTATACAGCCTTGGCGTACACCGACATTGCTATCAAATGCTGATGACATAACACCATTAGTACGCGCATTTTTAGAACGCGCTAAGAAGGTAGAACGGTATAATCGATCTGCTCGTTAGATCCGGCCTCGCAATACCAGTGAGTATGGCACATTCACCGTTCCGTTCACTGAGTGTATGTTTGTCTTTGCATGTTAAATTCATTCACATGCTGTTAAGAAAGTGATCTAAAATGCAACACTCACCTCGTGTTAGTAAACACAGCTGACATTAACTGACTGGATCATTCTATCCAATAACGTTTCCCAAGAAGCGTTGTGATCTGTGAATAGGATCAGGTGATTAGGAATAAAATGTCATCTTCCAATTTAGACCGCCACGTCATTGCCAAAAATACAGGCTAATGTGTAATGACTCATCGGTTTTAACCCACACATGGAATATGTTCTGCACCCGTATTGTTTCTTATAGACTGGGTATGTCTACTTACGTGCGTGCGTGCGCGTGTGTGTGTGTGCGTGCGTGCGTGCATGCATGCATTCATGCACGTGTGCTTGTGCTTGTGCGTATATACTAACGGTCGCTATTCAGTACCTAACAATGTCCAGGTAAGCTTACGACAAGCCCATGGAATACAATCTCATTCACGGTCCGGTGTGTGGCCTTGTTATGTTACATCTATTCATGCAGTCTGAGATCAGAAATCGATCTGAAATGTTTGCTACGCTCTACGCGCCTCATGTTAGTAAATACAGCTGAAATGTAACTAAGATCATTAGATCATTCTATCCAGTTCCGTTTCACAGGAAGAGTTCTGATCTGTGGATATGAATAGGTGGCCATTTAAACATGATACAGTATCCATTGTTTCAACAAGACACTTCCTTACCTGTGTTGCCTCCTGTACTGTATCTGTTCTTGGGTAGAAATGCCATTTAGACTGCCACTTCATTGTCAAAAATACATTTAGTTAGTTGAATGCCATTGGTTAAAATCAAAACATACGTTTTACGTGAAATACAAATATAGACCTACATGCAACACATCATCGCTATTAACCAACAAATGGAAATATATTAATCACCCATGTGATTCCTTATACATAAGATACATTGCAGGTAACAAAAACACATGCAAAACACAGGTTGCCTTACGTGTATACAAATATGGTTCTCTATACAACACATCATATGGAATAACCCACAAATGGAAATTCCATTACGTATTGTCGGTAATTCCCAATGCTATGATCGATAATTAACCTCTTACAGAGGGAAGTCAAGTTACATGTAATCATTATCAGCTGTTCAATACACGCCTATCGCAGTGACTGCTATTGTAGCCATTTCAGACATTGAAAGACGAGTTGGATGCATCAGAAAAATATTTTTGCAAGGAAATTCTTGTTTTCATATATACATATTGACAGTACCAAGTGACCTCGTGAATATAGTTCGCTTTAAATATTCAGATTTGGTGTCTGGATAGATTGTTTTGTTATGTATGATTCGTGTAACGTGATGCACTTCATCAGCTGATGAACGTAAAAAAATCCTTCAATCCACATGTGTGAAACCCTTTTTCTGGTGTCCCCTGAGGTGATATTGCTGGAATATTGCTGAAAGTGGCGTAAAACCACTCACTCATTCATACTTACCAGGCACATGGTAGTATGGTGGGCTATAGTAGTGTGTACCGGTGAAGGTTTCGTCACATTTTCCTTCACCTGACTATCGGAACAGGTTATCTAAACAAAATCCACGAAGAATTTGGGTATTTTCTGTTTCGAAGGTATGACTAATAATTATGATCTCGAAGATATGGTCCTGGATCCAACGACAGTAGCATTGGCAACTGTGCTACTATCTTTGGATCAATCAGTAATTATTGGTTTATAAACATCATAGCTGTTTGTAATTGTTATATTGATATGTTATATTCATGCTGATTAATTAGTTAATTTCTATCTGATTTCTTTAGTTTTGTTAAAGAAACATCTACAGGTGGCCTTATTATTCCCACGGAGGAGATGACAGAATTGTAGCAGGAGAAATGTTAGTGAGTTAAATTTCTGCAGCAGAAAATTCAGAGTTTCTTCTTATTCCAAGGGGAGGATGAGGGATTGTTTCAACACTTACATCATCAAAAGACAAAACAAAAAACACTATCCCTGATGAACTGGAAAATTTCTTTGTGCCTTTCCCCGTCACATTTCGACCCTAAACACGTTGGGTTGTTTAAGCAAATTTAATCATGAGTATCAAGGAATCAATAGTATGGAAAGCACACTGTGGGTTTTTAAAAGTATAAACATTTCGTAAGGGAAGTTTTTGACTTTTCTCAATAAATTAAAAGGTACTAATCAAAACTGAAAGGGAATATTTTTCTGATCCGGGCTGCATCTGTATGAACCTGAGAGGCAAAAGAATGCATGCCTCTCAAACAATGTTATCAAAATTCACCTGCGTTTGGTTAGCACTTAAAGGTTACATGGTTTAATATTCTAACTTATAAATTCATTTCAAACTTACTTATTTTATTGCATAATCAGTCAGAGACGTAACGTGTACGTGAGACGGCCTATCGTCTCTTGTACTCAAGACGGGTGCGCTCTGCGGTACTAAGTAAAGCGCTTGAGCCCAATTAATTCAATCACCGTGGAACCAACTCGATTGGGTGCGAACAAGGCGAGGGGTGATTAAAGCGTCCTGTAAAATCCCCAGGCGTAGTGGTTACTTGACAGTCGTGTAACATATGTTATATTTTGGGATTACACTTTCTTAGTAAAGTACAAATTATAGTACTTTTTTTAGTTGAGCCCCCTTCGGGATTCGAACTCACACCCTCAGAGTCAGGCACCAAATCGCCAGCACACAAAGTCAGCCGCCTAACCCGCTCAGCTACCGCGACTTCCCAAAAATGGAAGTCGGGCACCTGGTAGTCTAGACTGCGGGTTTTGTGTACCCCTCTGATAGGTGTTAATTGGCACGGCTCCCACGGCCGAAAGCTATGATTACTAAGAAAGTGTAATCCCAAAATATAACATATGTTACATATGTTACATTTGACCACTTTCTAAATGGCATTGTGTAATCATTCACAGTCGTGATTAAATAGATTTCTCGATCTCGAATTTCACGCTTTTGTAATTTGCTCTGAAGAGATTACGAAGGCAAGTCAAAACATTGATTACACGACAGTCTCGTTTCATGCTAACTGGGTTCTGTCCTCTTGCGCGGCTTAGTACAATAACCAGTCCCGAATTTTGAGACCTACTCATTAAACTGGATATATAAATATTAATCAGTATTATTTGATACATCTAATCATTTGTATACTAGGCACATAAAGAAACTGTGAAGGACTCCTTTGGTGATTGTTCAGGGCAACTTAACTGGTGTGGGCTAGAGGGATCAGATTCTTCGACCTGTGGCAATTCCTTTTCTGCAACGTCATGGCCCTACGTTAACATTCCAACAGGACAATGCCCGCCCTCATACGGCAAGGGTTGCTATGGATTTCTTGCAACACCACAACGTTCACTTACTGCCTTGGCCTGCAAATTCACCGGATCTCCCCCGATAGAGCATGTTTGGGATGAGATGGATCGACGTCTACGCCGTCTTCCTCATCCGCCAGATAACGTCCTTGACCTTGCAACAGAACTTGAGAGAATCTGGCGTGACATCCCACAAGCCTTCCTTGCACGTTTGATAGGCTCTATGGTCGTCGATGCACTGGTGTTCTCAATGCCGATGGCGGATAAACCCATTATTGAGCTTGTGACATGGTCGTTTGACCCCTGTCCCGCTTGTGGACTCGTGACGTCATTGTGATTGACTTTTCAATTGAAATTCTCCCGACTTGTTATGGTCTCATGATCCCTCCATTAAAGTTTATATGTACCTTTGACATTGTTATCGTACTTATCAACTGGGATAATATTTTGACAATGCACAGTTTCTTTATGTGGCTAGTACATATTGCTACACTACGCTCCTTCTAATCCTTGCAAACACGTCGTGCAGTGTGCTCTTTCGTACAACGTGATCTGACAAAAGGAACTCTGGAAATCGTGGAAATCTCAAAACGAGGCTCGGCCGTTAGAAATGTTTGGCGGTCTGGTACGGACTTAATGTTGTATCAATCATATTGTACGTTACAAACAAAACAAAACACATAACAGGTGTAACCAGTGAGACAGATGAATTGTGACTCATTTTACGACCTCATCAAACGGCAGTCTGTGACGTCTTAGTTAAGGTCATGCTGGCTAAACCTAGCCATCAAATATAGAAATACGATTTTATTAAAGTTTAAAATTAACATTCAGTTTCTTATAAAACAAGGATTTAGAATTTAGTATAACCATAGTTATTTGTAGTTACTCTTTTCACTTTCACATGAGAAAATTCGCATCGGCTGAAACGTAGGTCATTGTCTGAATTGGTTAATTAATGAGACTCATGCTTCGGTTTGTGAAGCTTGTATTCTGCAAGTTGTACTGAGAGTTTAAAAGGTGTTTTATCCTTGAAAAATCAATATTTCTGCTTTTTGTCGGAAGAAATGTACAGCATTTCAAACATGGTAGGGGTCATATTTTTGCAAATTCATTCACTAACTCAGTCGTCACAGCAAATTGTTTACAGCGAATTGCCCATATATAGATTACACTGTACACATTATTACAAGAATGAGTGATGGAGTAATTTCATTTATATAATTAACAGTTCATTTACATAAGTAATAGACCGTGTAAACTTTCTTATACGACACAGTTTACAACGCTTTTGAAGCGTAGACTCATGTTTGCATCATTTTATAAGGAGAAATATATTATCCTAAAATATTTCCCATTTCATACGATTGTAATATACACGTGAAACACACATTTCTACAAACTGCCTTTATTCTGAGTTAATCAGCGTTACAGTGTAAATGGTCTGTATGGGTCAACGGGAAGCGACGCTCAGCATACTTTGCAGAATTTCGGGCAATTCACGGGAATGTTGGAAAACGTTTTACACCAGGTCTTATTCGGCACATATTTACACCAGCTCTTCGAAGTTCCACATTTCTCTGTGGAGAAACAAAGTGATTAATATTAAACAATGATAGTGACGTGCTGCTGCTATTACTACTACTACTGCTAATGCTGCTGCTGCTGCTAATACTACTACTACTACTGCAAGTGATTACTGCTACTACTACTCACTACTACCTACTACTACTACTACTACTACTACTACTACTACTACTACTACTACTACTACTACTACTACTACTACTACTACTACTACTACTACTACTACTACTGCTACTACTGCTACTACTGCTACTACTACTACTGCTACTACTACTACTACTGCTACTACTACTACTGCTACTACTACTACTACTGCTGCTACAATGGCAGTTACTGCGATAAGCGCTCAGTCGTTTCACTTAATACACAATAACGTTTGTTGTCAACACGGCTTTAGCGAGGCCACTGAAATCTAATTATGAAATATTTTGTAATTATTTGTCGTCGCTTTAGTGTTTGGGAAAATCTCTGCTCAAATTCGACGGGGAGACATAATGTGACTACGTTCTTGGAAGGCGGATGATGATTTTATAAAACGCTCTCTGATTGGACTATTCATTTATGCATTGTCCTCTCATATTTTCAAGCAGACAAAAGGGCTTGAAAAGGCAAGTATGGAAACTAAACTTTGATGAACATACACGGGAATGCACGTCTGTAAGTACTACTAAACCTGGTGCTACTACTGCTGCTGCTGCTACTAAAACTAATACCATAACTACTACCACTACTACTAAAACTACTACCATAACTACAACTTCTACTGCTAAAACTACTACCATAACTACAACTTCTACTACTAAAACTACTACCATAACTACAACTTCTACTACTAAAACTACTACCATAACTACAGCTTAAAGCTGCTAAAACTACTACCATAACTACAACTTCTACTAAAACTAAAACTACTACATAAAACTACTACCATAACTACAACTTCTACTGCTAAAACTACTACCATAACTACAACTTCTACTGCTAAAACTACTACCTAACTACAAACTACTACCATAACTACAACTACTACCTACTACTAAAACTACTACCTGCTGCTAACTACAACTAACTACACTCTACTTTAAAACTACTACTGCTACAACTTCACTGCTAAAAAACCATAACTACTACCACTCTAAAACTAACTAAACTAAAACTACTACCATAACTACAACTTCTACTAAAACTACACTACCATAACTACTACTACTAAACTCTCTACTACTAAAACTACTACTCATAACTACTTCTACCACTACTACAACTACTAAAACTACTACCATAACTACAACTCTACTTAAAACTACTAAAACTACTACCATAACCTACTACTACTAAAACTACTACCACTACTACCACCATAACTACTACTTCTACTACTAAACTACTACTACTAAACTACCACTACTACTACTACTACTACTACTACCACCACAACCACTACTACTACTACTACTACTACTACTACTACTACCACTACTACTACTACTACTACTACCACCACAACCACTACTACCACTACTACTATTACTACTAAACTACAAACATAAATACTACTACTACTAAAACTACTACTACTTTACAACTACTACGTTTACTTCAGTTACTACTAATGCTACTAGTGAATTCGTACAATGAATAAATTCTTATTATTATTATTATCACTATGACTATACACAATACTAATGATTCTCACAAACAAAATATTCCTCAAAGGTATCTTTTCGATACAAATAGATACTATTCAACTCATAGGACATGACCGTTTGCTTTTGCGGAGATGAAACTACTGAGTGTACTAAGTTTGGAGAAACAAGTAATTTTGATTCAGGCAAGCTAGCCTCTCATACTGTCAGCGTGAACTGATATAAACGAATGCATACTTTCCGTGCAGGTGTCTCCAGTCCAGATGCCGCTGCACGTGCACGAGCAGGTGCTAGAGTCCAGTGAGCCGCCATTAAGACAAAGCTTGTCTCCACAATCTGAAAATTTACCTGACTTTAATTGTATTGTAAATGCTTTGCAAATGCATTTCTATAAGAAAAATATATTCTTGCTCCTTCCCCCGATGAAGGAGCAGTAATATACATGTACTCCAAAACGTCGTGTTATTCACAATAAAGAAATTGACACCATAAATGTGTCTTTACTTAATATGTATTCCACTTCTAAATGCCCTTCAAATATTTGCTTATTTCTATCATATTTTCACACCGGTGGCAACACAACCCACTGTGATTAATTTGTGTAATAGCAATAACCACATTTAGGCGTTGGCCTAACGTACGTGAGCCTCTTGTATCTCCATTAAATTACATTACATAACACAAATATTCCCAATACTTTGAATGTAATTTAAGTAGGGTAATATCCTCGTAACTCTCCATTCCTTAAAAAATAATGCGCCTCGGCCCCTAATCTTAACTCAAACGGTGGTATTATCTTGTGAAGTTGCGCTCAGCTAAAGCGAAAAAATAAACACATATCATGTTTGAAAGTCAAACACCAGTACAACCCAAAATTATTGAGATTATAATTTTTTTATTTTTATTTATTTTTTTCACTCATTACTCACGTATTATATTAGAAGAACATAACTCCAGATTCTAAGACAAGTGAACAGTTAGTATTTTGTCAAAGTCACGATGGGCAGCAATGCAGGCTTCAATGCGGCGCGGCATACTACTGATCAAAGAAGTTAGAAAGTCGTGGTCCATGCTGTCCTAATATCGGACCACCTCTTCTTTCACTTCAGCAATATTTGTCAGATTTTTTTTATTGACACTTTCCTTCATAAGTCCCCAAATATTTTCTATTGGATTTAGGTCAGGGCTATAGCTTGGCCAATCTAATAATGTCATATTTTGGGTCCGAAACCAGGCCTGTGGACGATGCTTTGAACGATGTTTTGGGTCGTTGTCCTGCTGGAAAATCCAAAAATGTCCATAGAACACGTGAGCAGATGGAAGTAAATGTCCCTCGAGAATATCTGGGTACCGCTCACTGTTCATATTTTAACACACGTTAAATTTCGGACTGTACTTTGGGCGCTGATACAAGGTGTTTCAGTTTGTTCGGTCCAGAATTTCAGTGTATTAGGAAACAGCCACACAGAACTTTCATCTGAGAAAATCCCATTGTCCCAGTTAAATTTCTATGCTGTAAGCACCAGTTCAACCTTCGCTCCTTTTGTTCAGGTTTCATGATCGGTGATGGAATTCCTCGACTTTTCTGCCAACCCATTGCATGCAGCTCAGTTCTAATTGTCTCCTTACAGACAGCCACAGTTCCTCTATCAATCATATCCAGCCTTAAGTTTTCTAAACTCTTTCGTTTGTTTTTAGAAACAAAAATACCAAGCCTACCTAGTGCTCAATGCCATATCCATTTGCAATATATTTCAAAACACGATAAACAGTGGACAAAGGGATGCCTGTTCTACTTGAAATCACTTTAGCTGATCTGATGTCCTTGTTATAATACTCTAAAATCAACTTCCTCTTCTCTAAATCATCCATACTGAGGATCACTGAAAATGTCGTCTGCTAGCAAGTAAACAAAGGGGAATAACTCTTCACAAACTAATGAAAAAGGATTAACGGAGTTCTCTCTTGAATGAAACCAAGCACTTGATAGCTGGTGAAGGTTGTTTATACTAGAAATTAAACATATTCCTAAAATTCTCAATAATTTCTGGTCATACTACAGCATCATTATTAACTGAGCCAAAGGTTACACAATACAGACAGAGAACTGTTGGTTATTCGAGTGAGTGAGTTGGGTTTAACGTCCAATATTCCAGCAATATCACAGCTAGGGGCACCAGAAATGGGCTTCACACATTGTGCCCATGTGGACAATCGAAAACGGGTCTTCAGCGTGACTCTTGGGCGAACCCTTTAACCACTGCGCCATCCCACCGCTCCTTCGATATGGAAATGAAAGTGTTTTCCACAAAGATAAAACTGATTTTATCAATGCGCAGAGCTGGTAGAGTAGCATCGTGTATCATCACTAAGTCAGTTGTTAGGGCGGTCAGTTGTTAACGGCTCTGAGGAGTTAAGCCCATTTCTGGTGTCCCCGCCGTGATATTGCTGGAAATCTAAAAGCGGCACCACTCAGTCAGTCAGTGTTGGCTGAGAGAGGTTGTTGGAGCACTTGTCCTCGTGACATTTACTGCACGAAGTTCCATTTTCGTAGGGGTTCTTGACATCTGACGTCTTTTGACTGCAACCAAGATATTATGCCACACCGCGTGAATATACATGTATGCGTTATCTCCTCCAGTACTAGTTAGTAGAACAACCGCTGCTGCTACGACAACTGCTGCTGCTGCGACAACTGCTGCTACTACGACAACTACATAATTTACTACTACATTGTATTCTTATACTCCATCAGCACCAACACTATTACAACTATTGCTACTACTACCGCTACTACTAATAGAACTACTACTGATGATGATGATGATGATGATGATGATGATGATGATGATGATGATCACTGTGTGTGTTTAGGTGTGTCTCCTAACGTTCATTTGCGGTCTTGGTGAAACCCATTTCTGGTGTCCCCTGCAGTGATATTGCTGGAATATTGCTTAAAGTGGCGTAAAACCATACTCACTCACTCACTCACTCATTCATTTGCAGTCTCGGGTTAGAATCCAAGATTCACCATGCTTATGTTTCTTACTCCTCCCTTCAACCGCCTCCGTGGTGTAGTGGTTAGAGCGTCCGCCCGGAGAGCGGAAGGTCGCGGGCTTCGATCCCCGACCGCGTCATGCCAAAAGACGTTAAAATATGTTTTTTGTTGAATCCATGCCTGGCGCTCGGCATTAATGGGCACAAGGACTGGTCGGCTCGGAGTCAGTATAATGTGTTTGAGTGGGGTATTGATGCTCTACTGCGGCATGGTATCTCAGTGAACTAACACTATAAAACCAGCTTAAGTCTGGGCTAGTACAAGCAGCCACACATACACACGCATGCACGTCGTCATATGAGCGAAATATGTACGACTTTAAACCCCCATTTCAGCTCACATCACCTCCTCTTCCCTTCCCAAACCTGTGCTCGTAAATCACTAATAGCGTCAATCATTTAAGGTTAGATTCTCTTTAAGCTTTCCTCCAGCATCGATACGCTGATCAATTGACTGGTCTAATCAGGTGTTGTAGGGTATTTCTGCTTTAAATAACATTAGTGCAGTCGTTCCATTATACATAGTGCATTTGTATTGAATTATTCATAAATGCACAAACACTTTCATTATCTACGGACCCTAATGTGTACTGACCAATCACGTGACTGGTCAGCTCCAGCTGTAACAATCACTCACCCAATGGCGTAGTTGCACACTTGGTAACGACTGTACGTAGGCGTTTGTACAGTTGGCCTCCCCACACCCGATGCGGATGGCTCTGAACCCCACAACCTAAACAAAGAAACGAAACTAGGCATCATATAATTTGTCCAATATTGACATGTGTCCTGTCACGATCTCAAACGTTAATCTAACAAAATTATATTAATTTAATATATTTAATGAGCAACATTCCAGTTATATCACGCTGGACAGGTAATACTTGCAGTTGATATTTACAACACCTTGTAATTGATGTCTCTGAGGTCTCAAGTTTTGCTTTCATGATAGCTACCCTCTTACCTACCCTGCCTACTTGACAAACTAATCAACGGATCTCAAAAGATTAGGCATGTGCACATGCCACGTGTTGTTCCATCGTTTTGTAGTGTTTATCACACAGAATCAACCCATGCTGGTTGTGAAAGGCGCCTCCGGGATTGAGTGGTCAGGCTCGGTGACTTGGTTGACACATGTCATCGGTTCCTCATTGCGCAGATCGACGCTCATGCTGTTGATCACTGGATTATCTGGTCCAGATTAGAAATTTACAGACCGCCGTCAAACTGCTGGAATATTGTTGAGTGCAGTGTTCAAAAGCAAACAAACAAACAGTCATTACGTAGTGTTTATCAATAAATATTAGCCTGAATACCTGGGTATAATGACCGACATCCTTTTCCTTTGTGATGCTGCCGACGCCGTGTTCGAAGTCTTCCACCTCCTTGTGCCAGCCTTCTATTGCCTTGATAACACTGTCGTAGCCGCCAGCTGCGTTCTGTCCAATGGATACTCCTGGCATGGCTGGATGAGGAAGGAGTTAGAGAGTGACTAAATTTTTATGCGACTTAAAATGTAATCTAAATTATCACAGCCTCTCAGTTAGTTGTAGGAGAAAGTCTGCGATGATGTGTGTCTGCGGGTGTTATCATCAATTTGGTGCTATCGTCACTTTGGTGTCATCGCCACTTTGGTATGGTGATGAATGACCAAGAAATTCAATCAGGACAAACCGGGATTTGAAACCAATGATCACAGGTTTCTGCTACAGCCAGGGACGCAACCCTGGTGTATTGGGCGGCTTGACTAAACATGATCTGCTCCAAGTACAGGCGGGTAAAGACCACACAGCCATATGATCGATAGCAAGAACATCCCGAGCATATGTAGAGGAAATACCTTCTTTGCAATCTGGGATAGCAACGGGTAAAATCATCAAAAGGCATCTGTGGTGTACTTTGATGTTATATTGCAAAAATTGTCGTACAGCCACATTTATTCAGATATCATGAATATGTTTATATGTTAAGTAGTTTCATTGAATAAGGACCCGTGAAAGTCCGGGTTAGAATTGATCTTCAGTAACCCATGCTTGTGGTAAGAGGCGACTAACGGGATCGGGTGGTCAGGCTCGCTGACTAGGTTGACACATGTCATCGGTTCCCAATTGCGTAGATCGATGCGCATGCTGTTAATCACTGGACTGTTTTGTCCAGATTTGTATATTTACAGACTGCCGCAATATACCTGTAATATTGCTGTGTGCGGCTTAAAACTAAACTCACGTACCCACTCATTCATTGAATGAGGCAATTATTTGGGTTTAACGCCTTACGAAGTTGAATAGGTAAGGTTCTTGAGAGGCATATAGAAGTTGGTATTAAGTATAAAGCAAAATATTATGGATGTCAACTTCTTTTGACTACCCAAGGGGCAGACCACTCTCACTGAAACGTAGGAGTATGTGAGATGACCAGCACACACGCACACACGCACACACTGATACCCTTTGATGAGCATTGACTTCAGAAAATGTTAAAAACCTACATGGAAGAGATCTTGCTGCATAATCGTCATGGCCCAAAGTACACTGACGAGCCCACTTGACTGGCGTACTCTGCTATGGCGTCATCCCACACCTGCAACACGGGCGTTCTTCATCATCACAGGTAAAGTAATCATTATAACATGTAAAGTAATCATCATCACAGGTAAAGTAATCATCATGACAGGTAAAGTAATCATCATCACATGTAAAGTAATCATCATCACAGGTAAAGTAATCACCATCGCAGGTAAAGTAATCATCATCACAGGTAAAGTAATCATCATCACAGGTAAAGTAATCATCATCACAGGTAAAGTAATCATCATCTAAAGTAATCATCATCACATGTAAAGCAATCATCATCACAGGTAAAGTTAACATCATCACAGGTAAAGTAATCATCATCTAAAGTAATCATCATCACAGGTAAAGTAATCATCATCACAGGTAAAGTAATCATCATCACAGGTAAAGTAATCATCATCACAGGTAAAGTAATCATCATCTAAAGTAATCATCATCACATGTAAAGCAATCATCATCACAGGTAAAGTTAACATCATCACAGGTAAAGTAATCATCATCTAAAGTAATCATCATCACATGTAAAGCAATCATCATCACAGGTAAAGTAATTATTATCACAGGTAAAGTAATCATCATCACAGGTAAAGTAATCAATAATACTACGTTAGTGAAGAAACACTCAAATTTATACGCTGTAGTTTTACTGAGTGCCTTCTCTTACTACCTTCATCCTGAAGATTTTACCCGACTACCTACGTTTTACCTTCTCTTAAATTAACTTCATACATTTTGTAACGGTTGATGACAGGCGTTTTCAGCGATGTTTTTTCTCTTGTCATATAGGATTGTTTATATCATCTGGTAATGAAGTAATTCTCTCGACAGGTTTACTCCTTTTCAGTTTCATTTACAGCTAGTGTTGGTGCTTTCGTTTGGTATTCCCACCATCTGCCCCTTGCAAAACCGATGGACTGAAAACTAGGCAGTGACATCGGCTCCTGGACACTCTTGCCTCTATAAGATGCCCTTGCACATGTATCAATAGACCATTCGAGGCCGTTACGAACACGGTCTGCTTAGACAATAATAATCATAACACTTGGGTGAATGTTGTTTAAGGGCGCAATCAGCAATATTCTTGCAACAACACGGGTCCTGGTTGAAATTGGTCAAGGGCGCAATTCTTGTAACATCACGGCTGTCTGATTATGATGACCTTACAAGGAGCGTTCTAATTACTCACCAGTTTGACCATATTGGTTGCAGTTGGTGACACATTACTTCTGTAATCGTTATGCTTGTCCACTATAGCTTGTTTGTCCGCGGCTGACAGCGGGGCGTCCGCTCCATTGTCCACCAGACAGAGGGTGTAGTTGGCGTGGATGGCGAGATAAGTGGCATTACAGTCCTGTTCAGGGGACAGAGGTTGGGGTTAATAGCGGAATTTGGTGAGCTATTCAGCATAAATTTCATAATAAGTAATGTGTAAAACTGTCTTTCATAATTTCGGGAACACGGGTGGCGTAAACACAAAACATTCTCTCCATCTATTCCTCTCTTATTCTCTCCATCATTCACTCACATAGACACATTGTCCTCCACTTACCGGGGATCGGGTGGTCAGGCTCGCTGACTGGGTTGACACATGTCATCGTATCCCAATTGCGTAGTTCGATGCTCATGTTGTTGATCACTGGATTGTTCACCAAACTCACTCAATTATTTACAGGTCGCCGCCATATAGTTGGAATATTGCATAGTGCGGTGTATAACTAAAGTCACTCACTCACTCACTCTACTTACCGACTTCACCACGAAGGTATGGCGCGAGGACCCTGCATCAAAAACAAAAATATAATACATATATGTAGGCCGTTTTTTCGTTATGTTTCTACGTGATATAATATTTACTAGTTTATACATCGTTTATTGTACAAGGTTTAACCCTTTCGGTAAAGCCAATAAACCCATACCGCAGGTATACTAGGCACAAAAAACAAAGGAACCCCTTGACTTTGTGAAGCATGATTAATTTAATCAGCACAACCGTACGGTAAATATGTCAGATATACTTCATAACGAGTGTGTCCACCATGAGCAGCAATACATGCACGACACCTTGCAGACATGCTGGACACCGACCGCTGAATTGTCGCCTTTGGAATCAAGTGCCACTCTTGCTGCAGTGCTGTACCTAACACATCAAGGTTGCTGGTGCACGCTCCCCGAGACGCACTCGACGCCCTAACACATCCCACAGATGTTTGATAGGGGATGGATCTGGTGTTTTAGCCGGCCAGGGTAAAGTTGTAACACCTTGTTGTTGCAAGAAAATCACGGCAACACGAGCTCTGTGAGGACGTGCATTATCGTCCTGAAACAAAAAAAATCGACCTGCCCTGTGAGCCATTGGATCCACGTGTGACCGTAAGATCTCGTCCATATACCGCTGGCCTGTCAAATTATCCCGTACAGGATTCAAACCAGTCCTCCTATTGAAAGATATTCCTCCCCAGACCATGATAGAGCCGCCTCCATAAGAATCATGTTCCTGTACCGTGGGTCTCCCATAACGCTCTCCTTGGCGTCGCCACACACTCAATCGTCCATCCTTGAATCGCAAACACTAGCGGGATTCATCACTAAACATCACATGTCGCCATTGCAGGTTTCCCCACCTCTGACGTTGCTGAGCCCACTGATAACGAAGACGTCTGTGGTTAGCTGTCATCGTCACGCCTTTGACTGGACGTCTTGACTTAAGACCTCTGCTACGGAACCTGTTTCATACAGTAGAGTTTAAAATCCGTGTTCCTGTGGCTCTGAAGAATTCCATCTTCAAATCCGGGGCTGTGACAAATCGATTCCTCACAGCTATAGTTCCCAGGAAGTTGTCTTGTCTGGGGGTGGTTTTAGGGCGTCATCCTCGACCGGTCCTCAGTTTAACGCCCCTGTCTGACGGTAAAGGTTGATGAGACGGGAAATGACGCTTTTGGACTTCCTGAAGAACCGGACATTCCGAGATTGTCCACCCTCTATCATGCCAATGGCCTGCCATTTCTGTGCGTTTGTCAGGTACTGTCAAGGTGGCATTTTCACAAGAGATAGTGGGACACGCTTACTGTCAGTTGTATAGCCTAGAATGCACGTGTGGTACATGATGCACGTGTATTATGTAATGGTAACATGGTGCTGACTGTGGTATCAGCCGTAAGTGATTTCCGATCTGGGTTCGAATGCAATCAGCTTGCAACTTTTATGTAGCATTGTTTCTACTATAAATTCCACTTGGGGGTTCCCTTATTTCTTGTGCCTAGTATATAACAGTGCATTATGCATTCAAATCTCGTCAGTGTGGAAAACTAGCTATTTGGGCGAATCTGGTCGCCAACAGTGCACCGCCGCCATGTTTCCTTAAGAGAAACACAGGCATATCTGGTGAAGTTCATAGGGACGTGCGCGCGTGCGACCGTGCGTGCGTGCGTGTGTGGATGTCTCTATATGGGCGACAAAATCTGTTTCGACAAATAAACTTGACTGATTACTCTTTGTCGTCGGAACCATAATGATGACGTCATGCTGTCACTGTGCAGTGTATGAAATAAGGCCGGTCCGACCGCGCGAGACTGGCCAGGTGTGCGACTTGTACGTGTGTAATTTCACTGCACGCGCTTGTTGATTACCTGGCTGTTCTACCAGCAAGTGGTCATCCCTCGTAAGAAATAGCGAAAAGTGACAACAAAATAATGATCGTTTGTTAAACAACATTTTTATTCGGGTGTCCAAAATTATGAGACAAATCATCAGAGTTGGTCTGTCGATTTCATGCGACTGTGCAAAATTTGGTTTTGTTGCATTTATTAGAGTTTGTGTCAGTGAGCAATTCATCGGTCGCAAATGAAGTCAAACGGACTATTATCAGAGTCTAGCAGATGAACATATGTATCACTCACCTGCGCCTCCCTTTACTATCACAGCCCCAGCCAGCACCAGCATCAGCAGCTCAGTGAACTTCATCATTGTCTTCCACGTCTTCCTCAACGTTGTGACTACAGCCCAATTCCTATGTCGTTATATAGATCACCTGTGTGGATGCGGGAGGGATACAAACATTGTTATTACTTCAGAGAGTGCTTTGATGTGATGTGGGAGATGACAGGTATGTCAATGATTGTCATGCGAGATGACAGTGCATATTATCAACATTATCTAATACCGAACCAATAGGAAATATAAGATCTCTGAACGTCATAGTACCCCACATCCCCTTAAATGAGAAATATTAAAATATAAAATGTGTATCTTTTTCTATTTCTAATGGTTCAAGAAGCAACGCTTAAATTCATTCTGGTGTAACATAATAATAAACAACAATCATTCTGTCACTCCTCAGAAAAAGGTGTGTTGAATTTATACAATAAAAACAGAAAATATGTTTTTATTCCATGGTATGTTTTTGCATTGTATCTGTGGTGCAACATATCATATTTACATCACGTTAGTAGAGAGATATGATATCTTCAATAATCACATGTCATCCCAGCTGATAGCATTCGCTGTTGTTTGATTCTGCTTACATATAAATTGCTGTGAAATTGCCATGATAACTGATACTTGGGAAAACGTTTCTGTACTCTTCCTTACCATAGGTACTCGTTACAGACACACACAAAGGCAAGTTAATTAAAACTTGGAACTTATGATACCTGTACAGGTAGGTGACTGGTTATCAAGGCTTAAACTCCAGGATGTCGAACGCACTGAAGCCTCTACACTCTGAGTGAGTTTAGTTTTACGCCGCACTCAGCAATATTCCAGCTATATGACGGAGGTCTGTAAAGAATCGAGTCTGGACCAGACAATCCAGTTAGACGAAGCATGACAAAAAATAATTTAAATAACAAATGTGAATGGCTAATGCGAACTATATTAACTCGAATGTTGGCTTTTGTTGTGAAGTCATATATTACCAGTCCTGTAACTCTCCGCTCGATTCATAATGTAATCATCCGACATGCTGAAATCGGGAAATAAACGACAGCTGGCTTGGAGGTGTTCGTCAAGCGAGGTCACCGCTACTGTCAATATGTATGCATGACAACAAGGTTTTCCCTGAAAACCCTTTTTCTAATTCACCTAACACGTCTGCCAAAGTCTATACCAACATCTGCATATTGAATAAACTTAATAAGATACGGTTTATGCAGACGCCAGTTGGTATTGGCGACAAACATTGCTAATTGTCTATCATGCAGAGGCGGATACAGCTTTTTGAGAAAGGGGGGATGCACACTATTGAGAAAAGGAGGGGTGCACACTTCATTTTCACCCGAGTTTCAATGGTCATTTAGCAAACTTTCAGCACAAAAGGGGGGTGGGGTGCGCGCACCCCTACACACACACACATACACTCTCTCTCTATTTAGTTTCATTTCGTAATTTCGACTACTTCTAATTGTGCTAGAACAAAAGGGCCGTAGGTAGCTGGGGGGAATAGTTTCACATATTATTTATTTGGACATCAAAGAATTGTCATAACGCTCTTTTGAGCAGCCCAGAAATCCAAGCCTCAATTAATGACGCAAAGATTGCGGACAGCCCATCCGACAGATGATCGGTACCAGAATGATACGCCTAATTGCATATATGATTATAACAACCATTAATAATTAACATAAGGAATCCAAGGCAATGTATACCCGGAACCCTATAAACTGGAGGCATATCGTGGAATACCTAATGATAATTAACGAACAAAAGACTTGATTAGAAAAAGGATTCCATTAACTCCAAAAGAAAGGATAGACAAAATAAAAAATAACATACAAAACAATGAATACGCAAGACACAAACAAACATTAATTGGTGAAAAAATACATAAATAGTATTATATACACTAAATGTCTGGGATGGAATTGTCAGCATTGGACGAACTGGTGATATTGACATCGCGAGGCCACGAGTTACTGGATCTCAACGACATCTGGACTGTCAACTGAATTTAATAACACAACTATTGTATACTCTTCACACACACAAACTTGACATAGGAACAATTAATTGAATTTTAGGGAAATATTTCACACAAACCAATCCTTGCTGAATCCCAACATGTGGGGGAATGGTTGCGAAGACAAAACGTTTGAAAAAAGAAACGTTGAACAAAAACGTAACGTTACACTCACGTCTGTAGTGTATCGCTAAAACGCACCCTACATGAAATGCATGCATGAAATGCATGACATTGTGTGTCACCCTGAGCTGAAGTCTATGACTGTAGACTTTAAAAAGCCAAATCATCAATGGTGAGTGAGTGAGTTTAGTTTTACGCCGCCATCGGCCGTTTACAAGGACGGACATCGCAGCATGAGGTGGCAAGGCACTTCAGTATGTCCATACAGACCATCCCAAACCTATGGACCCGATACAACAATACTGGGAGCTTTAATGACAGACCCAGGTCAGGTCGACCTAGAGTTACCACCTCAGCCCAGGATCGCTACATCCGGTTGAGACATCTTCTTTCAAACACCAGGGCCGCATCATCCACAACAATCCAAATCCCTGGACTGCGCCGAATCTCTGACTAGACAGTGCGCAATTGGTTATTGAAAACCAGACTTTTGCCAGAAGACAAGTTCAACGTCACGTCGTTCCCTTCATCGTCACGTCGTTCCCTTCATCAACTTCAATGGCTCTTTGGAGCATGACAATGCTCGACCTCACGTTACACGTGTTTGACAGGACTTCCGCCAGCAAAACAATGTTCAGGTGTTGACCTTCTCGATCACCCGATTTGTCCCCAATTGAACATCTATGACATACTCTTGATCGACGCTTGCACCAGCGTAATCCGCCACCTCAGACACTACAAGAACTGCACACGGCGCTTCAGCAAGAGTCAAAACATTCCTCAAGACAGCATTCGGCATCTCCTTTCTTCTATGGGTCACCGTTGCCAAGCTGTTATCGATGCTCATGGTGATCACACCAGATACTCACATTTTACTCTGACAAAGTAGCTTTAATAGCCCTCTGTGTGTTTACCAAACACTTTCTGGATAATCATGTTTTGGAAATTTGTAAAGTGATGATTTTACCGTAATTGAGCAGTGAGGTCATGTTTGAATCAGTTATATGCACTCAGTAAGTAAACTCCAAAACAGCATGTCAAGTTTCTTTGTTTTGAAGAGTACATATTAATACTTAAACTAAACAAAACAGTTGTTTTGCATCTATACAGATATCTCTAAATATATTTATAAAGTTTAGTTTAGAACATTATGTACAGATGCTACAATTTTGAATAAAGAAACTTTCTAAAAAAAACATGAAAAAATAGTCAAAAGTAGCAGGAAAAAATAATATTTTATGCAAAATTGGAGATTACATAAATGGAGTCATTTTACCTTCAGAAAGAAACTGAGAGCAACTAAGTTCAAACACACACACACACACACACACACACACACACACACACACACACACACACACACACACACACACACACACACACACACAACTCCCGAACCTCGGCGGCTTTGCGGCCTCGAACATGCAGACTGGATAATTTAACACTTTAAACATATAGTGAAATCAACGCAGAGATTATATTAGATTACTGATAATTAGTTGTGATAATGGTAAAGATCAGGGCATGCAATAACTTGAGCTCACAATTATGAATTACCGAACGACCCACTGCCTGGGACGCTTATAGTTTCAGGAAGTTGTGGAAGATAAGAGGAAACCATTTTCCATGACGACTGATACAAGAATCAACTAGGGTGCATACGAGCCATGAGTTTACATGAAAATACAGGACAATATTAAAACGAAAAAAACTCGATCCAGTGTATGTGTATGAATCAATTTTGAAAAGTCACTGGCCAGGAGGGTGAGTTAAGTAAAAATGTTGCTTGCCCATATCATACTTCACTGGCCCAGTAATTATTATTTTTTATATAGCGATCTTCGTGTGACAAGAGATAATAAATATCACGAAACCTTTGCGGGCGGACTTCTAACACCTTAATAATTGACTTCATCATATTCGTGTGCATTAAATAAAGAAAAAATTATCTGAGATGTTCAGTTAGCCAGTCGGGATAGCTTTAACAATATATTACTGGCCCGATTCACAATCAGCTAGCATTTGGCTAGTGGGCCAGTAGCTTTTTCGAACGCTGATTTCTGTGTTATAGTTAGCAGGGTTAAATACATAATTGTTTTGAATAGGAAACTAGCTGAATTTATAGGTGAATTGGGGAATGCCAGTTGCATTCCACTATTTGTGATCTAATCAATGGAACAGACGAGTGTGGTATCCTTATGGCAAGGTACAGCTTACAAATTCACTTATATATAGGTTACCACGCGAGTGTGTTTTGGGATGGTTAATATCCTGCATTGGGAATAATCATTGTATTTAGCGAGCCTTGGCGTCACGCCGAAGACCCGTGTTCGATTCCCCACATGGGTACAATGTGTGAAGCCCATGTCTGGTGTCGCCCGCCGTGATATTGCTGGAATATTGCTGAAAGCGGTGTAAAACTCAGCAATATTCCAGTTATATGACGGCGGACTGTACATAATCGAGTCTGGACCCGACATTCCAGTGATCAACAGCATGAACATTGGAATACGATAACATGTGTCAACCGTTAGTCGCCTCTTAAGGCAAGCATGGGTTACTGAAGATCAATTCTAACCCGGATCTTCATGGGTTATTATACATGTAACAAATATGTCAAAATGATAGCCTCATTAACAGACATTTGCCATATTTGTTCATAGTTTCTCAAATGCTCTGTAATTTCATGACCATGACAACAACCGGAAATTTGACGGAAACATGATACGTACATTTCAAACATTGGTCAGGCGGGTGTCAAATGATACGTTTATTTCCTAGGACTGTTCAATTTGGGAAATATTGTTCCTGCGTGCGGTGTATGTGTTACCATAGTGATGGTATACAATGAACAAATCATAATAACAGCCAATTCTTAGCCACACTTACCTTACCTGATGAGTGCAGACAGCTACGCATAACATTCAGCTCGCTTTGTAATGTGCCTGGTGAGCAACGGTTTCAGGGATTTAAGCCGTGTTTGTTGGCTAAAATGCATTTCTGGTTTGAACTAAATCATCGCTACTTCACACGAGTGTGGAAAAGTGTACATCACATCGTCACTGAATACGGAATAGACTGAATTGCTATCGTCTATGGTGCTATTTGTAATCAACGAATCTAACCACGGCCTGATACAGCAAGGTTGACGTCAGAGAGTGCTCTGACCAATGAGATGACATTGACAAAGACAAAGATGGCGGACCCCGTATACGGGCACATTCACCACGACAATTTCCGTAAGAAGACCGTTTCATGTTTTATGATAAACCAATGCAAACCAAATCACCGTCTTGGAACACAGTGCCATCAGTTGGTTGTTGTACAGTTGTCCTGGGCTGACTGGTGTACAGTGCACGTGAGTTGATTGTTGTACAGTGACCACGGGCTGCCAGGTGTGCAGTGCACTTGACTTGATTGTTGTATAATGGCACGGACTGACTGGCATATAGTGCACGTGAGTTGATTGTTGTACGGTTCACGTGAGTTGATTGTTGTACAGTGACACGAGCTGACTGGCATACAGTGCACGTGAGTTGATTGTTGTACAGTGAAAACGGACTGACTGGCATACAGTGCACGTGAGTTGATTGTTGTACAGTGAAAACGGACTGACTGGCATACAGTGCACGTGAGTTGATTGTTGTACAGTGAACTCTTGTACGTTTACGCGACATTGCTCAAGCTTTTTTGCTACTTGTGAATTAATTATCCAAGAAGCATGGAAAAAGCAACATATCCCATGCTTTTTGACACAAACAAAACCATTTCACACAGATACAAAACTTTCTCTCTACATAACCACATAAATACATATATCAAACAGGGATTGTTTGAGATTAAAACGGTTACAACTTATAACAAAAATGTACAAATAACGCTTTTTATTAAAAATAACGTCAGAAAATACCTTTGTTGAAATAATTTGTTAGTTATGTGTTCCCTATTCAACCCGCACTCAGCAATATTCCAGCTATATGGCGGTGGTCTGAAAATAATCGAGTCTGGACCAGACAATCCTGTGATCATCTGCATCGATCTTCGCAAATAGGATACGATGACTTGCGCCAACCAGCGAGCCTGCTCTAAAACAGGTGAGACCCCACAACATGCGCTTCATATCACACCTGTAATGAACACTTTCAATGATGACATGAGCTCACAAATAACAAATACAAAAACAACTAATTTGATATAAACATGTGTGTAGTCAAGAAGTGAGAAACTACAAAATCGTTACACGTGAACAACTGTTGCATACACACATTTTGGACATTATATCTTCTGTGACCTTAGTGTGCTGTAGTAATACTACTGCATATTTCGTTTACCGAAATCGCCATTTTACATTTGACGGCACTTCCAGTTCAGTTGGTTCAATTATGATATGGTCTTGACACATAATGACACAGGAAAAAATAACGTTTTCTGAGATATCTGGTGTTTCGGAGTATCTTTGACAGGAGTACAATTTTACAATTCTCGTATTTGTATCCAAAGTGTTCGAGTAATAAAGTGCAAGCAGGAGTTTATTGTGGTAAAGACGGTGTAACACTGTATATAAAACCAATATTTTCTTGAAGATATGAAAATGAAAGACACTGGAGTACAAATATTGTCCAGTACAGCTATTGTGTCGAACTCAATTGTGTCCAACTTACAGTTGGCTCGAAGTAAAAGCTTGGTTTCTATGTATACCTTACTGAGTTAACATGGATGTGCCGAAGTTTGTGGATCTCTCAAACGTCGACACAATGGTGTTTGTATATCACATATGTTCACAATTTAGACACAAATTGGTAAACATTCACCCCAAATTAACTTCACATCCGCTTATATTTTAGCACCTGTAAATATTATTGTTATGCTGAAATATGTTTGAAAAACTCTGTTGTACTTATATGACAAGCTCCTTGCTATTAAATATTGTTCCCGTCGACATGTGCCTCTCGAACAATGCAAATGTGACCGTACGTTTTAACTCTCTCTCTTCCTTTGCTACTTCCACACTCTTCTACACACCACGTCTGAGTGAGTAAAGTGAGTGAGTGAGGGGAATGTGGTTCTATCCTGTAGTCAGCAATATTACGGCTACAGTTAGTGGGATATAGTCTGGACCAGGCAAATCATGGTGTTTTCGATGTGATTTTAAAATCTTTTACAAAATAGTCCGACTGACTGAGTGATGGATAAAATATCACAAATCAAGAATATTTACATCTTCTGTTTGTGCACAGCAACTATTCTGACAACCGATCCCCATTTTAGTCGTATATGACTAACTTGCCATAATTTTACCGGGAGCAAATCCTGGAAAACTAGGCAATCATTTACATACTGTATATACAAAAAAAAACCAATTCATTTTTTATCTAAATATAAATAAAACTAAAGTTGGTTAAAATTACATTTGGTATTACAGTTTCTTAATAAAAGGCAAATTGTAGTTATGTTTGGTTGAGTCCGGTCCGGGATTCGAACCCAGATCTCACCAGTGTCAGCACCCAAAGTCAGCGATATTTTTGTGCATATATTTTCTTAAGAAACTGTAACATGTGACCACTTTCTAAAATAGTGATCAATATTGATAATGAAATAAGTGTCATTATAACTTAACGCTTAATGCTTGCCATACCACACTGTCTTCGAAATGCATTCCGTCCTACACTGAAATATACTCACGTACATAAGAAAGTACACACCTGGTGATTTGGGACTTTTCCCAATAAAACCATAAATATTTTGCTAGCAATGTTGTAATTGGGTACAATATCTGTGGTGTTTTGGAAACACTAGCACAATTTTTGTGACAAGGCAGAATCAAAACACTTTTTAAATATTCATGCTGTTTTACAGAAAATATTTTACTTAAGTCTAAATTGTACTTAAGTCTAAATTGCACTTAAGTCATATGTCGACGTGTCAACATGATGCGTGACGAGACAAACAGTTATACACGTTTTTTGCTTCTGATATCGTGCTAAACATACTAGATTGAATTTGGAATACGAACAAGCGGGTCCTTTTGCGGGTAAGGGACGCAACTCTGTAACATGAATTATTGTTGCTAAGATTTCGTGTATTTTTGCCCTTTCGGATTAAATTCGACAAATTCAGTCGTGGGTTACATACTTAAAATCTTCTTCAGCATATTTGATTGTTACGATATTTTGCGTGTCATTTTTATACGGAGTTTTAACATCTGACCACTGACTGACGATGTGTGTCAATTCTCAGCCTTGCTAAGAATCACTCTGTTCTTTCCAATTCACCAACTTATGTAACGCTGCGGATTATTACAGTAAGTCAATAGTCCTTGTCGAATATGTGGATGACGAATAATTGATTCCACAGTGTAAAAAACATGATATATAGATATAAACTTGCATAGAATATTATCACAGTAGGTTGTGGGAAGCGCTCGATAAGGCTCATATGTGCCTGGATAATACTGTCTTCTTATTCTTGAAGCACCCAGTGGAACATTGGTTCCAGGAAGTGGTTCTCCTGTAAATACTGGTACAAAGGTCGTGCCTGAATCAACGATGCACAGACTAATAAACGTTTAAAAGAGTTCACTTAAACTTTTGAAATCCAAATGAAAAACATTCGATGTACACCCCAATCTGTAAATAATATACGCTGACTAATGCTCCCAGAGCTTCTTCCAACATTCACGACATTTTCATGACCACTCTCATAGCCCTCCTTTAGTGGGTGGTGCCGTCGCTGGTACCTGGTCAAGTGGAGGGAGGTACGCTGGGGGTGGGTGGATACCTGAAGCCCCTGGAGCCGTGGCGACGGGTGGTCGGTTGGGGGGTGGAGCTTCAAATGATGGTGCCGTTGGAGGAGGGTGAGATTGTGACGATGTAGAAGGGTCGGGCTGTGGCATCGGTGGGTTGTCACTCTGCGGCGGGGGCCCGGGGGTGGGGCTTGCCATGCGGGTGGTGGCATGGACGGCGGGGGATGAATAGTTCCTGGAGGTAGCGTCCGAGTATTTATCTGTCCGCCGTTAGAGTTTTGTCCAGGGGGGTACGCTGGATTTGTGTAACCGTATGGGGGTGGAGGGTCATGGGCTTTGTAGGGTGGGGGCATTGGGTAGTGGCTGACAGGTTGTGCTCCGTAGCCAGGTGCGATGCCCCCTGAAATAGAAAGTAAGTAAACGAGTTTAAACTAGTATATTTCAGAGCGTGCGTGTGATTATTAAAATATGAGGGGCGAAGGGGTAGCCTTGTGGTTAAAGCGTTCACTCGTCACGTCGAAGACTCGGGTTCGATTCCCCACATGGGCAAAATGTGTGAATCCCATTTCTGGTGAAATGTTGCCAACATATTTCCAAAGGCGGCGTAAAAACTAAACTCCCTCACTCACTATTAAGAAATGAGTGACCTGCGTCAATTGATGCTATACATTTCTAAACATAATATAATTGTAACTATTTAAAAAACCTGAGCCTCTTGCAAAGATTTCATCCGTACAAAACATTCAACCCTTTTTGTCAACAGTTACATTTTATGGATTATGAGCCTTTGGCTTCACGATACTGAATAAACTTTCTGTTTGTCTGTCTGCATACATCGAGCGACATGCAAAATTATCATACCTTAATTCTAAGACATTTATATGAATTTTCAAGCAATATTATGGCAGGTGACACCAGAAATGGGCTTCATACAATGTATCTACAATACAATAATGTATATACATAGAGAATAGAACGCGGTTCTTCGCCCACTGGGCTACCTCACCGCTCCCTGGTAATATGTGTAACGCATCCTATGGTTCCGTAGGTATGGTAGGTATCGAAAAGTGATGTAAATCCATTAACTTGGCTTATACCTTGGGCAATACGGGTTCATCTGGGATGTCCAGGTGAACATAGAACGTAGGCATCGTATCAGTTAAATACGTAACTTAATGTTAGGTCGTATAAGTTTACCACGTTGGTGAAACCCTGGATAAATAGGGGCTAACACACTAAGACCATAGGCCATCCATATTTCTAATGTGTTTCTCATCTTAAAATCTCGACCAAAAGCGAGCAGGCTGGTGGATATTTTTTTTATATAATATTCAAAAAATGTGTTAACATTAATGTCATGAAATTTTGAAATCCAGATAACTTGGTGTTATTCTTTAAATTAATTTGATGTAGGTCGAGTCGCTTATTTACAGACCGCAGCCATATAGCTGGAATATTGCTGAGTGCGGCGTAAAACTAAACTCACTGACTCACGTACAACATACATACGTACGTCCGTATAAACATACATACGTACGTACCTACATACGTACGGACGTACAACATACATACGTACGAACAACATACATACATGCACACACACACACACACACACACACACACACATGTTGTGACTCACCTGATACGCCTGTGTACGACACTAGAGACGGAGGTGGCATGGGCCTGACAACACGTCCAGGTCTCTTCTTCTTCTTAATAATCATGGCGACGATAAAGGCGACCAACATGACGGTCAGGATGGCTCCCACCACGTACGCAGCGGAGTACCCACTTCTGTACAAAACAGTGAGTGAGTGAGTGAATGAGTGAGTTTAGCTTTAGGTTTTTAGCAATATTCCAGCAATATCACGGCGGTGGACACCAGAATATGGGCTTCACACATTGTACCCATGTGGGGAATCGAACCCAGGTCATCGACCTGATAGTCGAACACTTTAACCTCAAGGCTACCCCACTGCCCCTGTATGAAGAGTACATTGTGTCTTTTTACATGAGCAGTGAAAACTCGTTATTCCAGACTACTCTGTTCTGACAAATATGAAGCCATATCTTTTTGAATGTGTTTTAAAGTTTTTTGCAGATACCAGTTTTACCATGAATACCCGATACAACAAACACCATTAGTTAAAGTGCAGTGAAATATCACTTTTATCAACTCAGAAATCTCACGCTTTCACACTTAGGTATATGATAAATAGTGGAGTTTAATGGAATGCGCCTATGATATTGCTGGAATACTGCTAAATGCGGCATAAAACCCAACTGGCCGACTGACTTATTCACTCTACATGATTAAAGAGACCCCAATTACTCCTGGCTTATATACAGGAGTTAAGACATTCGTCACCACTCGCCCCTTTCCGTAACCTCCAAGCTATTCGGCTTGTCCGGGAATAACACGAGTTGGTCACGAATGGAGTTAAGAGTGATCGTAAACTTACGATGAGCTGCAGCAGTAACGCCTTGCTTGTATACAGGAGTTAAGAGTGATCGTAAACTTACGATGAGCTGCAGCAGTAACGCCTTGCTTGTATACAGAAGTTAAGAGTGATCGTAAACTTACGATGAGCTACAGCAGTTACGCCTTGCTTGTATACAGGAGTTAAGAGTGATCGTAAACTTACGATGAGCTGCAGCAGTTACGCCTTGCTTGTATACAGGAGTTAAGAGTGATCGTAAACTTACGATGAGCTACAGCAGTTACGCCTTGCTTGTATACAGGAGTTAAGAGTGATCGTAAACTTACGATGAGCTGCAGCAACGCCTTGCTTGTATACAGGAGGTAAGAGTGATCGTAAACTTCCGATGAGCTGCAGCAGTTACGCCTTGCTTGTATACAGGAGTTAAGAGTGATCGTAAACTTACGATGAGCTGCAGCAGTAACGTCTTGTGTATGACCCGCAGCATCTGTAGGAACAGGTAATGTACGTCGTGTAGTAGATGCTGCTGTAGCTGCTGTATCGACGGCGTGACGCACACACGGCGCCATCACACACTGCAACAGAACACGACACCTTCAGTGCACAGACAACAGAAGGGAGACGACGGGAGGATATGTAGGGCGCTGGCAGAGAAATCTTTAGCTGTGTAACAGCAGCAGTTAGGGGGTGGAAGGATAGCAGATATCCTGATATGAGTGGTGGGTTAGGAATTGGGTGATATTAGTAATAATATGCATACATGACGCAAGATGCAGAAGACCAGCTTCGCTTATTTGAGTAGGTTTTCAATAGTCGCTGCCAAAAAAATGCATGAAAAATAAAACGTTGCCTCTTGTTTTCTTCTTTTGTAGATAGTTTTTAAATATACTGAACAACATTAGAAACGCACCACACTAAAATGCACCGACGATGCTCAGATAGCATGGGTACATTTCAGTCTGACGGGGATATTTCGTATCATATGGGTGGTGCGTTTCTAGTGTTTTTCAGTATAGCTGCATGAACTTTATTTCTGGGTCTATCTGTTAGTCTATTACAACAGGTCTTGCGACAGAATGGGTTGTAGTCACAGCAAAAACACTATGGAAACACTATTGCAGCTCCAATACAACTATTGTAGTGATATTGTACAATTTTGACACTGCAGTAAAATCACTCTCGGACTGTTTCCACTGCAGTATGTGTTGTACTGTAATAAAAACACTATTGGTGTTAATATGTTATTTATCTATGTAACATATATATTGGGGGGGGGGCGTATTTCGTTACAATCAATATTTCCTTGCATTATATGGCAAGTAGTGCTGTAACGATGCATCGAACTATCAATGGATTGCAATTGTTGAGTCTCCGATAGCAATCAATCGTTGGTAGAAACGAAAAACTATCGATGCAACGATCGATAGTATGTGTGACTATCGATAGTTTAGTAACTGACTTCCGTTCATAAATGCGCAGCGCTGAATACAGGAAGTATCAGATTCGTTCACTTTGATTTAGAGATATGCGCCCCTGTTAATCTGGGTTTCAAGTTTCTTGTCAGTTATTCAAAGAGACTGAAACTACTTCAGCTTGTTATTTCATATAAACTGTACATTCATTTGGGAAATGACTTCAAATGAGACAATTCAAGGTCAAACACTAATGCAATAGTTGGTCGTAATAGTATGTTGCAATAGACTATCGCTATAGTTGTTTCCCCCTATATCGCAATAGTCACCTCTAATGGCAAGATCACCAAACCTTACATGCCTTTTCTGTCCTACAAGATCGACAGTGAGGCACTTGTAAGGCTGTCAGATTTAAATGTGTTAAATGGATACACCAAACATTTCTTTCTAAGTTGCATGACGGGTAAAAATGTATAAAATTAATAAGCTACATCATATATTGATCAATAGGTGTTGCGTAGAGCGGAATCGATGTCAACTATCGACCTTTTAGCTTGTCACTGATTGACACCCGGTCATGTTCGGAGTGCGATCAATGTTATCACAGTGTTATAACTTGACCCATTATCCTATCCCTACACAATATCGCTCCAGGGTGCTCGCATTATATTACAATGACAACCAAGCTTTTTTAATCATTTCATCTATGTAAAATTTCCTAAACAAACGATGTTGTATACTCATGTATATTAGGTTGGGGGTGCTCTATTTTGCAGTTCAAGACATGAAGTGCCGGTAATGATCACGTCATTCATTTTTACCTGTCTGAACACAGTAAAACCTCTATTACTTTGTGACCCGTGAAGATCCGGGGTAGAATAGGTCTTCAGCAACCCATGCTTGCCACAAAAGGCGACTAAACTTGTCGTGACTAACGGGATCGGTGGTGAGTGAGTGAGTGAGTGAGTGAGTGAGTGAGTGAGTGAGTGAGTGAGTGAGTGAGTGAGTGAGTGAGTGAGTGAGTGAGTGTTCCAGTTTAGTGTTAGCTTAATGTGGGATGAAATCCCGAAGTAATGCAGGTCAAAAACATTTACCAATGCCCACGGTTTCATTATGAAAAGCACCTCATGCGATTTTATCAAAATCAGGCATTGTACCCCTGATCATTTAAGAGTGAGTGAGTGAGTTTAGATTTATGCCAGTTTTAGCAATATTCCAACAATATCACGGCCGGGGACAGAAATGCGTTTCGTGCATTGTACCCATGTGGGGAATCAAACCCGTGTCTTCGGCGTGACGAGGGAACGCTTTAACCACTAGGCTACCCCGCCGTCCCCTTCATTTAAGTGAATGTAAGTTAGTGAGTTGAGTTTTTACGCCGCTTTTAGCAATATCACGGCAGGGGACACCAGAAATGGGCTTCGTGCATTGTACCCGAATCGAACTCGGGCCTTCGGAGTGACGAGGAACGCTTTAACCACTAGGCTACCCCAGCGCCCCCTTCATTTAAGAATAAGACCTGTATAGATACAACCATGATCAAAAAGATGGTCAATAACCATAGCGAGGACCAACTGCACCTTAGTTAACTATACAACTGTATAAACGGACTGCTAAACCAAAGCTCGTCCAGTTCAATCCACGAGAATGACGTTGGGGTCTGACCGCAACTTGGCATGAAGCCAGTTTTAACACGACAGGACAAATGACTGGAGATGACTGAGCGATATCATAGTATCGTGTTTAACAGGGTCTTTAGAATGGATATGTACTTTACTGGCTCTATTGGTCATGAACGCCAGTGTCACATGAGGAAGTAGGGGGTGAGACGGAGGGGGGTATTCGAATTGTAAAGAGGGTAATATATTACTCAAGGAAAAGCTAATGTTACATGGTGCCGGGGGATGTGGTGAGAGGGGAGGGGAACCCTCGAATTGTTTATTTTTTTAGACTATTTGTTAACTTCGCTCCACTGAACTTCAATATTAACCGAGAAGGAAGGTTGGGGGTGCGATGAGAGGGGGTAGGGGGGTCGAACTGTTCGAGTTGGTGAATCTTGAATTGTCCGATATTTTGGGACTAGTGTTGGTGACGTGTATCTACCACACTTCACATGAGAAAGGTAGCTGTGGGTACAGTTCAAGGGGAGTGTGGGAGTGTCGAATTGTTTTGGGACTAGTGTTAAATTTATTTCGTCTACTGAATTTCACATTTCCATGAGGAAGGAGGTTAGGGATGGGGTGAGAGGAGTATGGCCAATGCTTAACGGGAAAATCTAAATAACAATCCCAAACTAAGTAAGAAAAGGCACGTCACAATGCGCCCAATATCCAATCACTAAGTAATATGCTGTCACACACATATTAGGGTCATCCGGGGGGCCGGGGGTAGCCAAGTGGTCATAGCGTTCGCTGGTCACGCCGAAGGCCCGGGTTCGATTCACCACATGGGTACAATGTGTGAAGCCCATTTCTGGTGTCCCCCGCAATTATGTTGCTGGAATATTGCTAAAAGCGGCGTAAAACAATACACAGTCACTCACTTAGGGTCATCGGCCATGTCGTATGTTGAACTGAACTGGCTTTAGGACAGAAATAATGCCGATCATAAATTGTAACTCACTCACTCTGGAACTGGTCTATCTTAAATCTTCACCTAATATGCTTAGTGGTGATGACTCTTTGATGGCGATCAAAGAATATATTTATTCAACGAGAATATGCTGAGAAGGAAGACGTATTTAGTTTAATATAATTATATTCATACAGAAGTTAACACGTTCTTGATAGCATCAAATTTACAGACAGACCTGTCATTAACTTGAATTTCCAGATAGACAATAATAAATATATTTGATAGACATACATGTATTACACATGAATTGATTTCGAACTAATGACACTTTTGTCCTTTTTACAGTTGGTTGGACGTATTAATTCGTGAAAATTACGGATAAGTCTGTAGGTTTGACTCGATATTCCATGCACAAGAATTATTACATATTGACTATAATTTGCATTATAAGTATTCCTCATTATGGTATAAAAATGTTAAAAGATTTAAACATATCACCAGTTACGTAAGCATACAATGAAAAGACCCACTGAAATGGGTGTGCCCATAGTATATAACTGACGTGTAGTATTATATATATACAAACTGATCAGCTGGCGACATGCCAATTTCAAAGTTTCGCAGTATACATTATACAGCTTAATTTCTGTATAAAACACAACATGAAACATGTATGCATAAAAGAGTTAGTTTAAAAGGGGAAAGTTAAACATCATAGTAAATAAAGTAACAATTTACCGGAAAAGTATCCCAGAAGCAAGAGAGTGACAGCCCAGGTGGCCGCCATCTTGAATGTCGAACGTGTTCAGGTAAGTTGTTTACTATCGCCTAGCACCCTCAAAACAGTCACCGCTAGTCATATCTCGTAAACCGCTATGATTGCTAGCGGTGAATACAAACAATACCAGTATGACTTGGCAGGTATCACCATGAATAGCCTCTTATAAAATCGAACCTACGGTTGAACTGTTCAGTCTGTCGTTAATGCATTGGACTATTACTTGCATTCTTTTGTATGGGACAATGAGAGAATTACCACTTTATAAGCGGTTAGACTATACAAGGGAGTTCGGCGTGGCAGGAGGGTGTGTTGAATATATTTGTGTTAAATGGAAGATGCAGTTATGTGAGTGAATGAGTGAGTGAGTTTAGTTTTACGCCGCACTCAGCAATATTCCAGCTATATGGCGGCGGTCTGTAAATAGTCGAATCTGGACCAGACAATCCAGTGATCAACATCATGAGCGTCGATCTGTGCAATTGGGAACCGATGACATGTGTCAACCAAGTCAGCGAGCCTCACCACCCAACCCCGGAGGCGCCTTTCACAACCAGCATGGGTTGATTCTGTGTGATAAACACTACAAAACGATGGAACAACACGTGGCATGTAAACATGCCTAATCTTTTGAGAGTCGTGGATTAGTTTGTAAAGTAGGCTGGGTAGGTAAGAGGGTAGCTATCATGAAAGCAAAACTTGAGACCTCAGAGACATCGAATACAAGGCGTTGTAAATATCAGCTGCAAGTATTGCCTGTCCCGTGTGATATAACTGGAATGTTGCTGATTAGATATATCAAATTAATATTATTGTTTTAGATTAACGTTTGAGATCATTACAGGACACATGTCAATATTGGATACATTATATGATGCCTAGTTTCGTTTCTGTGTTCAGGTTGTGGGGTTCAGAGCCATCCGCATCGGGTGTGGGGAGGCCACCTGTACAAACGCCGAGTACAGTCGTTACCAAGTGTGCAACTACGCCATTGGGTGAGTGATTGTTATAACTGGAGTTGACCAGTCACGTGACTGGTCAGTACACATTAGGGTCGAGGTTTCAGTTGTACACTCTTCCAAAACAGAAACGCCTTGTAGATAATGAAAGAAGAGTTTCGGCAATAAAATTAGAGCAACACACAAAATAGAAATGCTGCCCTTACCATGTATTCATGTGATCGTTGACAGGGCCTTGAGGGCAGAAGTTCATTGTTGTTGGACTTTAAATCCCACCACCACCCCCTGGTTGTGAAAATGATCCCCTACCCACTCCACTGACCCCTGGTCGTGCACTTATTTGATACTGACATCAACATGCTGAAGATTTTATTTTTTATAAAATTTGAAATTTCATATATTTAGGCCAATCAAATGAATCTGTCTTTAGTCATCAAACTAGTATGTAGAGAAATGTTAGTTGGACATTTGCAATGAAGAACAGGTATATTCTGGTGTTAATGTTTAAGTTTAACCTTTAACATAGTCAGGCACCCATAGCTGTTACTGTCCTGTCACTCATGGGCCTTTAATGGAAAATAATCATGAAATGCAGAGAGCCGAAAAAGGTGGTTGACAGAATAAAAACTGTAATTGCCTTAACACAGGTGTGGATGTTTGACAAGCAACTCACGCCAGTGTAAGGTAGAGGGTGCTATCCAGAGGACGAAATAGCTTCCAAATTTTGCTCGCCAGTCGGTCTAGCTATGCCTGAAAGTTACTAACCCACAAAATAATTCACTACCCCGAAATTTTACTGTAGAAAATATTACCCAAATAGATGAGAATAATGTATTGGGCATGACACGAGTTTCATCATTAAGGGGCCGTTCATATAGGGTGTTCTGACACTTTGTTCTCATGTAACAACAGATAGCCAGAGATTATGAACGGCCTCTAAGCTGCTAATATACTCCCCATCAAAAGTTTAGACTCACTAGTGTAAATGTAGCCACTAACTTCAGTCAACTGTTCCAAACTAGATTTTGCAAAATATTCCGCACTGTTTAAAGGTGTTTACACATGAACTGGTGCATTATAAAACAGATTCGTAACGTTGAAAAGATTATTGTCATGAGTTTAATAAATGATTAAACTCAGTGAAAATTGGCGAATTCTTAACAAAACTTTACACCAAAACGCAGCTGTTTACATGCACGATATTTACACAGGCTTTTCAGCAATCTGATGTATGATCCTCGTGCAATTCATCTGCATAAAGTTTGCAGTTGGTTCCCCCAAGTTAGTGGAGGAATTCATCTTCGATGTAACCATATATATATACATAACATATAGTGAGTGCTTTAAGTGAGTCTAAACTTGTGATGGGTAGTATATGATGAATATTTTCATCAGGCCATAACATTGCATGATATAAATGTGCATTATATAATAACTTAACAAGTCGAAGAGAGTGATGTATTTACAAAATGTCCCCATGAAAATTGACGAGCCAGTCGGGCCAGTGACTGTGTGTTGTTTGGAATTTACTAGCCCGACTGGAATTTTACTAGCCGCGGGCTGGCGGGCCAGTGACTATTTCACACTCTGGTATCATGGGAATGCAAACGCATGATTATGATTTAGGAGTGTGATTACACGCGCGTGCCATTGTTTAAAGAGCATGATTACACTTACGTCTATATCATAGCATAACAGTACATTTGTATAGCGCTAGTTCCATGCTAAATGCATGCTCAAAGCGCACAGTTGAGAGAAGATTCAGGGAAAGAAGGCTTGTCTGAAAAGATGGGTTTTAAAGGCTTGTTTTGAAAGTTGGTAGAGTTCCTGCGAGAAGGGTCATCTGAGGGAGAGAGCTCCAACATGAGGGGCGGCAAATGCACGTTGACCATAAGTTGTTGTTCTGACTTTAGTTCTGAGTGAGTGAATGATTATGGTTTTATGGCGCGTTTAGCAATATTCCAGCAATATCACGGCGGGGAACACCAGAAATGGGCTTCACACATTGTACCCATCTGGGGAATCGAACCAGAGAGACGAGCGAACGCTTTAACCATTAGGCTACCCCACCGCTCCTCTTAAGTAAGTGACCCGTGAAGATCCGGGGTAGAATAGGTCTTCAGCAACCCATGTGCTTGCCATAAAAAGGCGACTATCTTGTCGTAAGAGGCGACTAACGGGATCGGGTGGTCAGTTTCCTGACTTGGTTGACACGTCATCGGTTCCCAATTGCGCAGATCGATGCTCATGCTGTTGATCACTGGATTGTCTGGTCCAGACTCGATTATTTACAGACCGCCGCCATATAGCTGGAATATTGCTGAGTGCGGCGTAAAACTAAACTCACTCACTCACTCTTAAGTAAGTAAAACCTGACAAATGTTATCTTGAAACATTAGCAGAGAGAAACACCTGTCCACTCTTCGCAACGAATAGCAAAAACGGCGTCATACCCTAGATCAAAAGGCGAAAATATAGAATGTATGTACCTTTTCAATGGTTGACACAGCCCTGCTTGTTACACCTGAGTAAGATCAGAGACTGTTTCATAAGATTAAACGCGAGCATCCTACGTCATCAGTGAATATTGTTTTACGCCGCTTTTAGCAAGGTTCCAGGAATATTACGACGGGGACATCAGAAATGGGCTTCCAACATTGTAATCATGAGGTGAATCGAACCCGGGTCTTCGGCGTGACGGGTGAACGCATTAACGGCTAGGCTACCCCATCGAGCATCCTCCGTCATTAACTATTTCCCATTTCATATGACTGTAACATACAGCGGGGCGGTGGGGTAGCCTAGTGGTTAAAGCGTTCGCTCGTCACGCCTAAGAACCGGGTTCGAATCCCTACATGGGTACAATGTGTGAAGCCCATTTCTGGTGTCCCCCGCCGTGATGTTGCTGGAATATTGCTAAAAGCGGCGTAAAACTAAACTCAGTCAGTCAGTAACATACAGCCATACACGAGCAACACACATATCTACAGACTGCCTTTATTCTGAGTTAATCAACGTTACAGTGTAAATGGTCTGTATGGGTCAACGGAAAGCGACGCTCAGCATACATCGCACAATTTCGGACAGTCCACGGGAATGTTGGAATACAGCTCACACCATTCCTTATCCGGCACATATTTACACCAGTTCTTCGAAGTTCCACATTTCTCTGTGAAGAAACAAAGTGATGGATATCATTCAAACAATGGTAATGACAGACTACTACTACTACTACCATTACTACTACCAATACTGTCCATATGAATAATTACTACTACTACTACTAAAAATAAAAATAGTACTAAATGAAATGAAAGATGATGAATCTGTCAAGTTACAAATGTGGAGGAGTTATTGGGCATCTTTGGGAACATAGGGCCTACACCAATCTTGGAATACAAGTTCGCGACAAGCTCCAGATTGCCCCAGTTAAAGAGTGAGTATGCCGCTTTCAGCAATATTCCAGCAATACCACGGCGGGGGATACCAGAAATGGGCTTCACACGTTGTACCCAAGCCCGGGTCTTCTGTGTGACGAGCCAAAGCTCTAACCACTAGGCTACCCCAACTTTCCTCAAATTAAAGACATAACCCGGGCTGAGTATAAACCTCGCTTAAAGGTCACATGCAACCAAAAAATCAAACATAATTAAAACACAATTATCACTTATTCATGACATATAATATACATTGCTGGTAATGAAAAAACATATAAACAAAATTATAAGCGTACAATCGCAAATCAAAAGTGCAAAATTGTGTACTTCGGTTTTACTTCCCATGAAACGAAGCAGCCGGGATACCGAACCCAGTCAGAGCGGGTGGGTGTGCACTCAAGTGTAACGGCTGGTTCATTTGCAGATGCCTTCACGGCTCATTGTGTGTGTATATATATAGATGTTGGGTTTTGTAAATACATGCCTTTTTTTGTGTATAACATTTTGCAATCAACAGACATCATAACGTGTCATGTGTTCAAGTATCACACCTGCCTGTCTGTGTAATTACATAATGTGACAGAGACGGAACTCGGGCCATAAATCAATGCATTTTGTTTATGGTGTATAGCCTGATTGGTGTTAAGTTCAAATTGCATGTGGTCAGTGACAGCAGCTGTGTATTGTGTATTACATTTTGCAATCAACAGATATCATAACGTGTCATGTGTTCAAGTATCACACCTGCCTGTCTGTGTAATTACATAATGTGACAGAGACGGAACTCGGGCCATAAATCAATGCATTTTGTTTATGGTGTATAGCCTGATTGGTGTTAAGTTCAAATTGCATGTGGTCAGTGACAGCAGCTGTGTATTGAATATTGTCAGACAGACAGGCAGACACACAGGTGTCAATAAAACAAGACATTGAGTTTTGTCTGTGACAACGACATATCTATATCACAGTTAGAAATTCTGTACAACGCTAAATAATGACATTGCTTTTAAGTATCGAACTGAGAAAGTGACTCGGTAAGAAGAACGTGTGGTGAAATAGACAAATGAAATTATATAAACAGTTAATTTACTGTCATAACATATAAAAAGCTCGCGCCTGTGAGATATCAACAAAACATTAGAAAAATAGCTCACACCAAAGCCTTCACCGAGTATTCACCCGACAACCCGCTTCCAAGCTGCGCGAACCTATTTCACTGCGCACGTGCTATGAGCGCAGCCCAGCTGTTGAAACCCGTTTTCCCCAGAAAAGTTGGGGGGGAAATTAGTGAAACGTTTGAACTCCGATTTCGCGCGGTTTTTTTCATCGCGTTATTTTTTAACTTTATAAGTTGAATTTGCATTTTTTGACGATTTGTTTCGGTACGTCCATACCGAAAGGTATCAGAATCTGCAAAGTTGTGTTTAACGTTGCATGTGACCTTTAACGAAAATCTGGAGCTCAGAGCTAAATACTCGAACCAAAGTCAAAGCCATAAATGGGGTTGATGAGCCAGTCTTAGTCCAATAGAGGAGTTGATTGGCAAAGCGAGACATCCAGAGTCTTAACCGCCTCACCAGAAGGATCGAGAGTTACCCTCCAACCTCGTTCCTCTCTTAATCGCTTCTGTATCTCAATCAGTTTGGAGGCCGGATTTGACGAATGTCGAGGCTCATGTTTATTGATCTCGTGATTCTATGGTGATGTATTCCAGGACTCGGGATGAAAGCAAAGGAATTCCACAGCTTCCACGACATTCAAGATGATTTTGATGATAGCGAGGTACTGCTGGACAGTAGTACAGTGATGGGTGCAAACCAGGTGAAATCTTCACCAACTTGGCTCAGTCATTCATGTGAAGGGAAACTTTCTGGGAAACCACTGTATCGTGTGTACAGTGTGTGGAACGGAATAGCAATCCAAGCGACTCCTTTGCCTGGATGAAGTCGGATGGTCTTGAATGTGAAACAGGGGGCTTTCGTTTTGGCTGCCGAGAACCAGTCCCCTACTCGCAATCGCCGAAATTCGTCAACAGGGTGTCATTCCTTGACAAAAACAGCGTATCTTAAACAACATGATGGCATGGCTCCTTGTTTCTATTACTGTCTTAGCCATGCTTGTTGCTTTATCCCCGAGGCCCATCCATGACAGGACCCTGAACATGTCCAGGGCGTCATGGAAAATGATGCTTTTAAACGTCTCTGGAACAGACGTATATAATCCTGCCAACAAACCTGATCTTTTCCATTTTCATGATAAAGGCAGTCAAATTATTTATGTCACTGATGATTTGTGTCGCTTTTGACAGTAATGTGATTGGCAAGATTCAAGAAAAGCATAGTTAATACCACGCTTTTGAAATTCCTTTTTAATTTTGTAATTCCAGGTCGTGTCGTCAGGCTCTCGGTGCCCTTGATTTGGTTCCTTCCGATCTCTTGACACAGAGCAGGAATGTGCCCGGGTGCTCCACCGGGAGCACGAAGGTTCTAACACTCTGGGTAATGCAGGAAGCTGCAGTGTTGGGAGTCTCCATATTCTTCGGAATGTTCTTGTTCTGTTCAACTAGGCAGAGCAGAGCCAGGTTATGCCTGGACTAACCAGCCTCTTTCCGCTGTACATTGTATATTATTCAGTAAAATATACTGACAATAACTATGTGGACCTCGCCACTGAAATGTCTCGCTTGCATCCCAAGAACACTGTCGCCAGGCTCCCCATTGTTCTCGCTGCCCTCAGCGTGATACCTCCTGATCACTTGATAAAGACCAGGAGTGTGCCTGAGTTCTCCATCGGGGATACATACCTTCTGACATATTGGGTAATGCAGAACGCGTTGGTGTAGGAGAGTCTCCATATTCTCTTAAAGGTTCTTGGTGGGTTCGACTAGGCAGCGCTTCCTGGGATGCGTGTAAAGGGGACCAGGTCTCTGAGATGATCACCCAAACCATCTTTGCGCATTCATTTGATCTCATCTGTCAATTATCATCATAAACAAATGGATAATATATAGAAACTGTGGGTAATGCTATGAGTATTATCATAATGACTAAAGTTTTACTGCATTGTACCGTATCAATGAAAATAACAGTACTCCTTGATAACAGGGGCGGTGGGGCAGCCTAGTGGTTAAAGCGTTCGCTCGTCACGCCGAAAACCCGGGTTCGATCCCCACATGGGCACAATATGTGAAGCCCATTTGTGGTGTCCCCCGTCGTGATATTGCTGGAATATTGCTAAAAACGACGTAAAACCATACTCACTCACTCACTCATGCACTCACTCACTCAGCTTGATAACAGTTTCAAATACACGTGTACATATCTTGTTTCATGCATGTTGAGCTCGCATTTGTTTTTAATTTGCCTCGGATAAACAATTCTAGATTCAGGCAGGAATATATTCTATCATACTGTGAATTTTTCTAAAAATAATTCTTTCCTTACTTTCAGTGCACACGTCCCCAGTCCAGATGCCGGTGCACGTGCACGAGCAGGTGCTAGTGTCCAGTGAGCCGCCATTCAGACAAAGCTTGTCTCCACAATCTGAAAATTGATTTGACTTCATTTAATTGTAAACACAGTGTAGATTGACTACCAGAGGCAACTACCCAACTGAACTTTAGGTAGGGCAGCAATAAATACAATGGTGGCGTCTTAATGACGTTGACGTTGACGTTGACGTGAGATCCTGAGGTTCCGGAAAAGTGCATTCATATTTAAAGGATTTGTTTTTCGGTATAAACTAAAAACATAATGACAAAAGCGTACATCTACTAGTCATTAAAATGACATATAATTTTATGACTATCTACTGTATCTTGGAAAATATATAGATTTCTGCGGAAATTTGATATTTTATACGCCTCTGAGCTGTCACTTAGTCTCTTGCACTGAGCTGTCAACTCGTGAAGGTCCCATGCTCATGATGTTGCTCACTTGATTGTCTGGTCGAAACTCAATTATGTACAGACCGCCGCCTATAGCTGCATTATTGCTAAGAGCGGCGTTAAACAACAAACAAACAACACTGAGATGGTTATGATGAAACGTGTATCGTCACTAAGTCAGTTGTTAACGGCTGAGAGAACACTAATCTCACCACAGAGGTTGTTGGAGCACTTGTCCTCGGGACATTTACTGCACGAAGTTCCATTTTCGTACGGAATCTTGACGTCTGGCGTCTGTTGTCTGCAACCAAAATAAAATTTATTATGCTACACCGGTGAATATAAGCGTTGCATCCGGGTTAGAATTGGTCTTCAGTAATCCATGCTTGTCATAGAAGGCGACTAACGGGATCGGGTGGTCAGGCTCGCTGACTTGGTTGACATATGTCATCGTATCCCAGTTGCGTAGATCGATGTTCATGCTGTTGATCACTGGATTGTCTGGTCCAGACTCGATTATTTACAGGCCGCCGCCATATATTGCTCAGTGCGGCGTTAAATAGCAAACACTCATCCACAACTAGTACTAGGCCTACCGCTGCCACTGTTGCTGCAAAGGGGCCTAGTAGGTCTCGAGGTTCCGCTTAAAACGTGTATCCTTTAGGTGTACTAAACACTTTTCCTCATGGGTTCGAATCCCGGATGCATCTTGATGATTCTTGGATTTTCAGCACAGTACCGATGCTCGTGAATGTCACCGATTATTATAATAAACATACAACCATTGCATATCTTCCAGCTCTACAACAGCATTCTGCTTACAGTCCGTTTGAGACAAAATGATACCGATGAATTGCAATATAACACAAAAACAGTTAGACATAAAAGAATCAAACCAACGCGGACTGCAATAAAAACAGACCAACTCTGGAAAAAAATTGCATAATTTCTGTCACAAAAATAAAAAAGTTGTTCAAGAAACTGTCATCATATATTTGTGCGTTTTCCAAGTTTGTTACAAGGGCGCAGTGGCAACTAAAGGAACAGCCCGAAAAGCGAGATGCACGTGCATTAGCGACGTCAGAGACATGTGATTACCGTTGAATGACAAAGTGAAAGAAAATGAAAGTCTATAATTTACAAAGTCTATGATTTTTTCAAGGATGAAAATGACAGGGGGTGACCCAAGTATGCAATTACTAAGTACACACAACGCACTGCCTGTGCAGCTGAGGTACGTGTCATCTCGCCAGCTCAAAAGTGTGTTGAGAACCCGTTAACGCACGTGCATCTCGCTTTTCGCGCTGTTCCTTTAGTTGCCAACGCGCCCTTGTAGCAAACTAGGAAAACGCACAAATAAATGATGACAGTTTCTTTTTCTTTTTATGACACAAATTATGCAATTTTTTTCTAGAGTTGGTCTGTTGTTTTTATTGCAGTCCGCGTTGGTTTGACTCTTTTATGTCTATTTGTTTTTGTGTTAGATTGCAATTCATCGGTATCATTTTGTCTCAAACGGACTGTGCGCGTGTTGAAGCCATTTTCCAGTTTTGCCGTTTAGAGTTATCTACCCCTTATGACAAGTGACTGCGGGCATGACAACACGTAAACAGCTGTCAGGTTGACGTGCCGATTGTTTTGTCGACAGACGATATTGTTTACTCTTGGTCTAAGTGGTGGTAAGGCATCTGCAGCTTCTCTCGGTATACACGTCAGATAGCGCTCGTTGCATGATCAAACACGTTACAAGTTTTGACCGCCGTTTGTTTTGACAGTATGGCCGTGGTCACGTGGTTCTCCAAAAGGACATCACTCTTGTAATATGTCGCGTTCTCTGAGAAAAGCACTAGCTTTGTTCAGATGTGGGGTAGCTCCGCTTAGAATCGAAACTGGCCGTTACGTTGGTTGTGCTTTAACTGAAAGAATTTGGTTTTACTGTAAAGATTTTATTGAAGATGAGTGTCATGTTTTATTGCATTGTCCTTTGTATGCTAAGGAGCGATTGCAACTTTTATCTAAATGTACAAGTCTTTAAGATGTTTTTTTTTTAAATCTGGGGGATGTTGAAAAAGTTAGATATATTCTATCAAGTCCAGGTGTATCGTTTTTATCCGCCAAAACCTGCCTTCATATTCTTAAAAAGCGCACTGCAAAATTGTATACATCTTCTTAATGTAAATGGTACTCTTTTTTTTGTATTTGTAATATTCACATATTATACTCTGTATAGTTTTTTAGCTCAAGTGTCTCTCATAATTCCATATTGAATGGCTCAACTTTTTACGGTGATATTGTGTTTATGTACTTAGCTGTTTTTGTACCATGTTGAGGCGAGACGTAAATAAACATCTCTCTATCTATCTATCTATCTATCTCTAGACGAACTTATTTCGCGAAACTGGATAATGGCCTATTAAAGGGCATAGTTAACTGGACTTATACAAGGCGTGAGTTTAGTTTTACGCCGATTTTAGCAACATTCCAACTATATCACGGCGGGGTCACTAGAAGTAGGCTCCACAAGTTGCACCAATGTGGGCAATCGAACCCGGGTCTTGATCTTTATAAGGCTGAAGCATAGTTATAGTGGCATGTCATGTCATACTGATTATCCAGTCATAAAACGTCCACTAGAGGCGCGTTCTGATCAGTACCTTCTCTGACAAACCTTTTCGTGTCTCTCCTCTAAACCTCCATGGCACAGACTGAATAAACCTAGAGAAGAAGGGGGCGTTGGAGAATTTGTTTGATGCACCATGTTTTGGATATGGCTCCCCACACCATCCGTGCAGAACGCTTGATTCCACGTCGGTAGACACACATTTACAAATCGATATCAGTACGGTGTTGCAACATCGCAGACGTTGTCGTTGATGCAAACGTCTCAAAACCGTTTTTTTTTGATTAATTCCACCTCTCGCAGAAGATTCCTGATAGTTGGTTCCATAGCCTCCTCATGCCCTGCAGTCTCGGGGGGATGACGGTGACGGATGAAAGACCCGGATGTAGGATCTTTTTCAGGGGAGATGACTCTCGGTCTACCACTTCTCGTACGATTATTGATTGAATTGAGACTGGTATACCGATCCCATAAAAGATTATGCTCTAGTGTACGTTGAAATGACGGGTAAAACTGTAGACTGGTACTCCCCAGCTATCCTTTCCCATTGTATTGAGTTGTTCATGGATAAAGAAAATGAACATTTTCATTATCTGCGATGCGTTTCTGTTTTGGAAGAGTGTACAACTGATACCTGGACCCTAATATGTACTGACCAGTCACGTGACTGGTCAGCTCCAGTTATAACAATCACTCACCCAATGGCGTAGTTGCACACTTGGTAACGACTGTACTCGGCGTTTGTACAGTTGGCCTCCCCACACCCGATGCGGATGGCTCTGAACCCCACAACCTAAACACAGAAACGAAACAACAACGCTTAGTATGATTTGTCCAGTATTGAAATATGTTACGAACTGATCTAAGAAACTAATAATTTAATAAGGGCTGGCTATCGATATAGACCATAGAGATTATCGATAAATATAGCAGATGTAACTTTGAGCAAAAATGCCAAAAGTACCTGAAAGAAATTAATATAATTCATACCGCTGGTGAGTGGTCACAGGTTTTTGCATGGATTATTAACAAAACAGCGTCATGAACATAATTTTGAAGCGGACCATGAATAAAGTCTTAGATTTGTATATTGTGTGAGAAAATTAAAGCTTTTTTCTATCACAAAAGTTATGTACGATATTATCGATAACAATATTTTCGATAATCATTAATATTGTTCATGTCGACGATATTTCCGATTATCGATCATTTTAGGCAGCCCTAGATTTAATATTGTTTCAGGTCTCAAAAAGCAATATCCCAGTTATATTAATCGGGTCGTTAAATACATTTTTCTTTACAGCTGGCATTGGAAATGGCTCACAACGCAACACAATGGCGTAGTGATTCCACGCCTCGCCCAAATCTGAATTAACTCGTCTCTGAGAACGAGCTTTTGAGTGCTGGGGAAGTTTGTGGCCAGTGAATTGGGTTTGCCGTCGTTTTGAGCAGTATTTCAGTTATTTCACGACGTATCAAAATTCGACAGAAAGCCCACAGTGATAAAATTGTTACACTCTTACCCGTGAGCTGGCAAAACCTTGTAACATAATTAGAGCGAAGCCCGATTCGGACCAGTGATCATAGGCTCTGGGACGCCAAGGGGACACAACTCTGCACATCCAACTGTTGCGCCGTGGACTGATTGATTGAGGTTAGTTTTACGCCGCTCTTAGAAATATTCCAGCAATATCACGGCGGGGGACACCAGAAATGGGCTTCACATATTGTACCCATGTGGGGGAACGAAACCGGGTCTTCGGCGTGACGAGTCAACGATTTAACCACAACACTACCTCACCACCCCGTTGCGCCGTGGACGATGTGGCAACTACAAAGTCTGTACGGAGACGTTTCTGGCGCGGATCCTGACGGAGTTGATCAACGAAGAAACTTCATATTTCTACTTAACATAATCTCAAAATATTGTTCTATTCAAATATGTATGAGTTGATATCTTGCATGACTCATAAATAACGTCTAGCGCGAAGCTGCAACTACAGTTCTATTCTCGTGCAGGACCCGATGTGTCTGTGGTACTCAACATCTATACACAAACAACCTAGTTAGCACCCTCTGACTTATCTCACAATTGAGCCCCAATCTTAACCCTTTGGATCACATCTGGGACATGATTGGTCGTCGTGTGCAACAAAGGGAAGATGCTTTACACGAGGAATGGCGTAGACTGCCACTTCAGAGGATCAGGAGGCTGACAGAGGTATGAGGAGGAGAGTGCTGGCTGGCATACAGTCACATGGAGGTTACACTCGACCTTGAATCGTGTAAGACACGCAAAATGACATTTTGAATGTTCACATTCAGCAATAAATTCAACATTCAACATTCCAGAGTCATACTTGTACAAACATGGTTTTGCATGAAAATCAGTGTTTCTTTTTCAAAAACGAGCAATTATCGTCATAAAATCAACATGAATTCCAATCATTTTGTCACTTTTTTTTAGTCAAGGATCATACGGGTCAGAAAACGCATGTTTTTTCCATCCATGTTCACTACGAAAAGTTTTAAGTACGTGTTGAAAACATATCATGGCAAAAGTAGAGGGGGTGCTTAATTAAGGTCTTTGTGTATAGTTGATTACCACTGCCCTGACACTCCCCGACCATGCTGTTGGCCATGTCCATCTGACGGGTGTTTTTCAACCATTACGTAGTTTTTGTAAAAACAGAAATAGCTTGATTACCTGGGTGTAATGTCCGACAACCTTCCCCACTGTTGTGTTTCCGATGCCGTGCTCAAAATCATCCACCTCCTCGTGCCAGGCTTCTATTGCCTTGATAATACTGGCGTAGTTACCACCTATATTCTGTCCAATGTCCACTCCTGGCATAGCTGGAATAAAGAGTGAGTGAGTGTTTGGGTGAGTGTCTGCGTGAATGAGTGAGTGAGTTTCTATTTCACCCAAGGGACGCAACTCACGGCACAGCAAGTCCAGGTGCTTCTGACAACTAGGCTACCCGTGCAAGTGGCAAAGGACAAAGAACCATGTGGTCGATATCATGAACATGTAACCCTTCAACACTTTGTGGAGAAACCTCTCTTTAAATTCTATAAGTGACAATGAGGTAGTCTTGCAATCGTGTACAAAGCCCCTCCCTTGTGGCATTTGAGGTCAGATAGCGTGTACAATTTTATTTCTTGTTTTACGCATCCACCGGTCGTATATTTTCAAAAAGAAGGGAAAAGAAATAAAAATTGATTTTCTCCCGCTCAAAAAAATATAATCCTAATTTTTTATTGGCCCAAAATGTAAACTTACAAGTAAAGTATTTTAGATTGTTGTTTTTTTATTTTTTGGCCCCATATAAACTTCATAAATTGCCAAAAGTAAAATACTTTTAGTATTTAAAAGGAAATTAGTGGTACTTTCCCCCTACTGCCTTTAGAGTTTCTGAGGACAAAAATCCGTAAGCAAGAAATAAATTTGGTCTGGCCTCAAAAGGATTGGTTACTTTTTCTTTAGACCCTCTGTGTCATGTGGTGAACTAAAGGTCAGAAAATGGCCGGCCTTCCTCACTGATTCAGAGCATCACGATAGACAGCTAACACTCGGGGACATTCGTCACTACTCGCCCCTTTCCGTAGCATGTATTCGGATTGTCCCGGAATAACGGGTCACAAATAACAGAGGTGAGCACAGACTGCAGACATGTATTGTTAACCACCTACTTGCAAGAGACCTTGCCTCGTAATCGTCATGGTCTATAGTGCACTGACGGGCCCAACTGGCAGCAAACTCTGCTATATCGTCATCCCACACCTGCAACATGAACGTTCCTTACTACAATTAAATTTTGCGTTTTCTTCACAAATAAAATATATCTCCCCGTGAACTTACGAATGCCTGCATGGGGTGGTGAGGTAGCCTAGTGGTTAAAGCGTTCGCTCGTCTCACCGAGTCAGACTCGGGTTCGATTCCCCTCATGTGTGAAGCCCAGTTCTGTGTCCCCCGCTGTGATATTGCTGGAATATTGCTAAAAGCGGCGTAAAACTGAATTCACTGTTGAATAGATTATTTTTCATCGAAATTTCTCGATATTTTAATCATTTGTTTCTTTTTTCAAAGCAATGAGTATGCTTCTCGTTAAATCGATTATTTTTACATAATTTCAAATTTATTTCAAAAGCTAGAAATATCGAGCATTTTCTCATTACTTCGAACATTTCCTCGCTGCTTCGACTATTTTCAACCCGTGAAGATCCGGGGTAGAATAGGTCTTCAACAACCCATGCTGGCCACAAAAGGCGACTATGCTTGTCGTAAGAGGCGACTAACGGGATCAGGTGGTCAGGCTCACTGACTTGGTTGACACATGTCATCGGTTCCCAATTGCGCAGATCGATGCTCATGCTGTTGATCACTGGATTGTCTGGTCCAGACTCGATTATTTGCAGACCGCCGCCATATAGCTGGAATATTGCTTAACTCACTCACTCACTCAAGTTTCAATTATTGTCTCGAAATTTCGAGCATCTAAGTGACAAAGATGCCTACGTTTACCTATCAGTTCCTCTTGGCTGATCGATATAAGGATGCTGCACTATGAACAGCAACCCATGCCTGGTGTAAGAGGCGACTAACGGGACAAGCGTAGATCGATGTTTTAGATGTTGATCACTGGATTGTCTGGTTCAGACTTGATTATTTACAGCCCACCGCCATATAGCTGGAATAACGCTGAGTGTGACGTAGTCTGTCTCACAGTCCCTGAACCACAATATTTTACCTTAGCCCTCCCTGCAATGCTAAAACCCTAAATGAAGCAAGTCTAGATTTTCCCAGGTTCCCAACTCACTGGGCCTCTTTTTCATTTTTAATGGGTTTATTTGTTACTGTCAAAATTATATATATTCAGGGACTAACCGTTAATCTAAGTGTGGCGTTAAACACCAACCAACCATCTATTTACATCAATAAGACATGATATTCCAACCCCTAAACTGTTGAATGAATAAATGAATGTTGTTTACGGCCGCAGTCCGCACTGTTCTAGATACATCTAATTACTCACCAGCCTGACCATATTGGTTGCAGTTGGTGACACATTACTTCTGTAGCCGTTGTGCTTGTCCACTATGTCTTGTATGTCCGAATCTGACAGTGGAACTTCCGACCCTTTGTCCACTAGACACAGGGTGTAGTTGGCGTGGATGGCGAGGTAAGCGGCGTCACAGTCCTGTTCAGGGGGACAGAGGTTGGGGTTAATGGCGGTTTTTGTTGCAGGATCGAGTAGATTTAGTAATAAGTACTGTAAAAAACTGATATTTTGTGTTAACGTGAACACGGAGGTCAAGTCGTTCTGTCAGTCTCATCGCTCTGCAAAGTTGCGTCCCTTGGATGAGCCAGGCTGTGATTGTGGTTCTGAATCCCAGATTCGACCAGATAATACCCGTGTTCGTGGGTTTCACAAACAGTGATGAGCGTTTAGGACCTGCATCTTCAACACGGATTACGCAGATGACTAAAATAGTCCCCAGGTGAATACCAACGCTCCCTCCCTCACTCACTCACTCATTCAAACAGTCTTTCGGTACTCACCGCTTTCACCACTAAGTTTTGACTTGAGGACCCCGCTCCTGTGGCAAAGACAATAAATAACGTTGAAAATTATAACAAAGCCATTATATACACATGGACAGAAGTATCGCACCACCCTAATTATTTCTTAGTATCAATATGTTATCGTTAACAATCGCGGAAGAACTCAATCTAACTTACCATCTGGATAAACTGACCACAAGGAATAATGAAATGGCACGTCTAAACGGGAAAAAAATCGAAAAATTGTAGTTTTTCAGAGATTGAAGTAGATATGTCCAATCATTTGACTCGTTTTGTAGTACTGGGGCTCCTTTCACGAAGCAACCTTTACTAAGGTTAACCTTAACTCCCATTCTTTAACATTGCACTAAGGTTACCTTAGTGACATACGATCACCTTAGTGCTTTGTGAAAGGAGGCCCTGGTAACTATGGTCGTAAAACATTAACAGGTGCGTTCATTTTAAGATTACGGTATACAATCTTCAAGAAATCATATAAGTACACATGCATGATGTGACCTAGTATTGTCCACCATGAAGACTCGCCCTGTGTGCAGAGAATGGTCAAAGAAATGTGGTACAACAACCCTGTCTAGGATGTCAGTGATGTGCCTTGATGTATTTATGTCTGATCGTCATAAGGTCACTTTACAGTCACGTAACCCCAAAAAGAAATCAACTTTCGTCCAGTGTATGACCCCATGACCTCAAATTCCAGTGACGTCGAGCTTAACACAAGCTATAGTCTGATTGCAGTGAAAACGTACCGATGAATTTCACTTTAAACAAAAAGTAAATCGAATAAAGTGAAATCAAGATTGCGACTCCTCATAATTTACCTTGCCAATTGAACATTTAAATCTCAGAATTGTATTATACCCTTGCGACACTTCTTTCCAGACAAAATAGGGAGTAACTCAGTTGGTAAAATATTCCAAGTGTAACTTAATATATTGGTTGAAGATAAAGTACAAATGACTGTCCATTCCTGAAAAATAATTGGAGCGTTTAAACCAAAGAATGACGTCACAGATGTGGGTTTTTTCCGATGTATGGAGATCGATTTATGGAACGATATAAACGACACGTTTTTGTGCATTGTTAGGTGTTCTGGGAGCGATGAAATAATCACAAAAAATAGTTATCCTATTCATCAAACATTTTAACAATAGGCGATTGTTACGTATCTCATTAGTAACGTCTATTACTCATCCGTCGAGTCAGTCACATTCGATATTATTCTTTTGTGTAATCGGAGAGCGTTGAATATTTATGTATTTAACGACAGTTTAATGACCATCGTACAACTGACATACAACCAATATACTTGTAGTTTACATTATTTGGAATATAAAACCATAATTCTATTCATCAAGTACTTATTTATGTGTATGCAAGGTCAATGACCCACATATTAAGGTAGATACACAAGTTTTACAATAAGCAACAGGCAATATAAAGGTATAAAGGTTAATCTAATCGATGGAAATTTGAACATTGTTGCGTGTAACATATTCCACAAATACGTTGAATGTGTATTATTTCTTATTAGCCTTCAAGGATTATGCAAACATTTGAAATTATCAAATAGTTAATTTAACATAGTACAATCAGTCGCCGTTTATTATGTCGATAGATGACGCTGGTTCAAACTCGCTTGCCATACTTCTTTCCCTACAAAGTATGGAGTAATTCATTTGGTACATTCAACTGGTAAAATATAAGATACATATTCCAAGAGTAAATAATTGAAATGTTTGCTCAAGATAAAATAAATGACTGCCCATTCCTGAAAAAATATTGGAGCGTTTAATCAATAGAATGACGCCACAGATGTGCTTTTTTCGATATATGGAGATCGATTTATGGAATGATATAAACGACACGTTTTTTGTGCATTGTTAGGTGATCAGGGAGCAATGAAATAATCACATAAAACAGTTTTTCTATTCATCAAACATTTTAACAATAGGCTTTTGTCACGTATCTCATTGGTTAACGTCTATTACTCGCTCATCAGGTCAGTCACGTTCGATATTATTCTTTTGCGTAAACTAAAAGCATTGAATATTTGTGTAATTAACGACTGTTTAATTATCATGTACATTAGAAATACAGACTGGAGTTTACGTCAATTGGAAGATAAACCAATAATTGTATTCATTCATTTATTGTGTATGCAAGGCCAATGACCCAGATACAAAGGTAGATAATTATACACTTACCAATAGGAAACAAGACCATCAATATGGTCTCTGCCAATAAGAAACATATATATAAAAGAATGACATGACATTGTTAAAGATCACATAAACCCTAGGGGTAAAATACATAAATCACTAACTGGCATCGTTATAAATGAAACCCCGTCATTAAAACTACTCATTTCGACCTTTAATTGACTTAAATCGACCTTTTGACAACAGTGCACAATTCTCACCCGCGAACGAAATTTCAACCAATCAGAGCGGCGCGACTCTGTGACGTCATATGAGGAATAGCTTTGAGGGCCGATGCAGAATTCATCTACATTTTAGGGGTAAATTATCTTGTTTACAGGCTTGTATAAACCTGAAATCGTGACAATTGTTGTGGAAAATGAAAGCTATATGTTCTCACAATCTACTGTCATTTAATTTTGTCTCCTGCTTTGCCTAGTTTCCGAGTTACAACTTGTTTTCATAGACGCTTCTGTCACAATTGATTGGTGTCGTTAGGCCCTATTTGTATAATGACTGATCCAAATTGATCCCATTTCTGTGTTTTTTACCTCGATATTTAATCATGTCATGTAAAAATCTGTTTGTATTCTCAAAACAGTGTCGGCCCATAAGTTTTCACATGCAATACAGCAATTAATACTCTCTAGTTGTAACCCGTGTTAGGTGGTATAAACCTACACATGTTATTTGTCATCATTCACTTGATGGTCAGTTAATGAATTTATAACAGGTATAATTAGTGGTAACACACTTAGATTACCCGACAAAGGTTCCCATTTGGCATTTCTTGTGTCTGGAGTAAATATTCAACATTATAAACATCGATCAAAGGATTAACCGATAAGACGCTGATTGATTAATTACTTTTATCTTACACAGCGGAATTGTCAAAGGTAGTGTTTATGTATGTAGATTTACTAATCTATACTGAATACACTCTGCCGTGTCGGTGTCTGCGTAAAAACAACGTCCTTCTTTCAAAGGATTAACCGGCAATACATTGATTGATTGCCCATTATTGGCTAACTAAATTACTGTTTTTAATGAAAGGCGGACATTATGCAATTAGTTGCCAGGTGTGCTATCTTGGGTGACCAATGAGACTATACACCAATACCTGAAAAGATTTATCACTTTTCGTATATTAAACTGTTAAAAGACACATCATTTGGAACAGTTTTGTGGATATTGATGGATACATTCCTCAAACAAGGTAATGGCCTGATATTGTTCCTATAACTTTAATCTGTTTTAATTTTAATATTTGCATTTTTTTTTATTCATTTGTCGTAGCATTCAACAGAATCATTGTTTTCGCCGTGAAGTGTAATGAGACAGACAACATACACTAGGGTGTGTGTGCGAATTATGATTCACATTGGCAAACTATAAAATGTCTAGATATTACAGTTCTGTTATAAATTCACTATAAGTATCAGCAGATCGTCAGCTTTTATTTAGTTTCAAAATGCATAAAAAGTATGATAATAAACTAATTAGGATTATAAGACCAAATATAAAGACGCACATTGACTAGTATCTACATACTGGTGAGTGGACATTAACCATGTGAATGTAGCAAGAAATTTATCGCGCAGTATTGTGACTTCGACCCCCACCTCGCTTCCGTGGAAGAAATCGTTATGTTATAAGTTGTGTCATGCAAAATCCTTTTGGTTATGATTCCAATACATATTTAACTACGAGTAGAAAGTAGTTTTGATTTTCTAGCAGTGAAAACAAACTATAATCTCATTAATTCTAACAGACTTTACGATTTTCAAAATGGCGGCGCCCTGTCGGGAACATCCGCCAGTCTGTGGATAAATGCTATTTAGGTTTGTTTTCACCGAGTTACAAAATCAAAACTACTTTCTACTAGTAATAAAATATGTATTTTATTGATAGCCAATAGGATTTTGCATGACTATAACGTATAACATAACAATTTCTCCTGGCAGCGAGGTGGTCAATCAATAATACTACTTACAATATTATTGTTACTTCGACCACAACCTCACTTCCGAGGAAGAAATCGTTATGTTACAAGTTGTGTTATGGAAAATCTTTATGGTCATCAATCATATACATATTTTACTATAACTAGTAAGTAGTTTTGATTCTTTAACTTCCGTGAAGCGATCTGAACACAAGTAAGATATCGTTTCAGGCTTCCACAACGCTCGCTTCGCACTCACAAACATAACCCATTTAGCACGAACTGCGGGGTCCTGTGGAAATCTGTGCATGGTGACACCATCACCCGACCCTAGGAGCAATTGACGACAAAGCAACGATTCGGCATGTCGTCGTTCATGTCGAGAAATCATCAAAATGATGAGCGTGCTACACACTTTCTATACAACTAACTGAAAATCGTTCCTCATATGACGTCACTGCAGTGCTCTGGCGACAGAGTTACGTAACCTGTCTGTGGTTTCGTTGGCGGGCGAGAGGGAAGCAGGCGACTTTTGGCCACTTTTAATCGCTCGGTATTAATTAACCACAAGTTTTTTAAAGAATAAATTTGGTGTTCCGCATAAGACTAACCACAAATCTTTCATATGTAATGGTTAAAAGAGTAACAAAAACAAAGTTTAGTGGTTCTTTAATACCCGTGTCCGATTCCCACATGGGTACAATGTGTGGAACCCATTTCTGTGTCCCCCGCCGTGATATTGCTGGAATATTGCTAGAATATTGCTCTCTCGCTAAGTTAACTGCAACGGAGGTTCGGCTTTCACAAACTGAAACTAAACATCTTTACCAATATGTATATAGTACTTCACATGGATGAAATAATATCCTGTAAACTATTAATATGTACTAGCTATTCCCAGCCGAGAATAGTGTTTTGCGAACATTCTCAATAATTCACAAACAACAAAACCTTTTGTTGAGCAAAATGTCATATAAGGTTTTCAAGTGAATGCTTTCTTTTTCCATGCAGTTTATACACTCCATATCCATGTTCAGGGCTCTGTGTATATTTTAATCCCCGTCACCAGGCATTTACAAAGTGCAGGCGATGATAGAATATTTGGGAACCGGGGGAATCGAAGACTTGAAGTATTTTTTCAAAATATTTTCAAAGGGAATATACTGTCACTGAGTAACAGTGGGAGTATTTTTGAGTCAAGAAATATACGCGTAACTGTTCATTCCCTTCAAAACAAATTTAAAGAATGGACAAATGCTCGGATATTCCTGGCTGCGTAATGTATGTACGACGCATCATTTAGCGTTGGAAGAATCGGCTTCAGGAGTGTTGTCGAAGATCGGCCCTCCGGTTGTATCAAAATATATATTACAAGATACATAGGGATGCTTAGAATGCGGAATGTCTTTGTGTATTAGGGTCAGTGGGGTAGCCCAGTGGTTAAAGCATTCGCTCGTCACGCCGAAGACCCGGGTTCGATTCCCCACTTGGGTACAAAGTGTGAAGCCAATTTCAGGTGTACCCCGCCGCGATATTGCTGGAATATTGCTAAAAGCGGCATAAAACCGAACTCACTCACCGTTTAGCAAAACGGTAATGCCAGGGAATAACCAGTCTCGATTATCCGCCGAAACAGTGAGTGAGTGACTTTAGTTTTACGCCGCTTTTAGCAATATTCCAGCAATATCACGGTGGGGGACACCAGAAATGGCTTCACACATTGTGCCCATGTTAGGAATCGAACCCGGGTCTTCGGCGTGACGAACGAACGCTTTAACCACTGGGCTACCCCACTGACCCTAATACACAAAGACATTCCGCATTCTAAGCATCTGGCTATATACACCTGTCAGTCGGGTTAACAAAGTACCTGATCAGATCTCAACTACCTGTTGTCGGATTATGATATATAACTTGGGTCTTCAGCGTAGCGAGCAAACACTTTAACTAATTGGCTACCAAACCGCCCCTCCGCCGAAACAGATTCATTTGAGCGACGTCACATGGAAACTTAAGGTGTTTAATGGGAGATTCAGAGTGAAACGACAAAACAGAAAATGTTCCACTCACCCCCACCTCCCTGTACCATCACAGAGCCAAGCAGCAGCAGCAGCAGAACAGTGAACATCATCATCGTCTTCATCGTCTTCGTCAACGTTGTGACAGCAACACATTTCCCCCCTTATATAGAGGCCTAGAGTGGCAGGCGATGATAAACGTGAATATTGCCCTCAACTAAGTGTTTCATGTGATCCGCGATCCCACAATAAGATATTAGAATTTATTGGTTTTGTGATGATGCTTTTACATATATCATACTGTCACTAATTGTCAAAATGCGAGGTGAATTCACATTTGAATGGCGTCCAATACAATCAAAGATGTACCGAAAGGAAATTAAATGATATCGGGACATCACGTGACCCACATCCGGTTAATTGGTGTATTCAAGTGTAAATTGTGGTTTATTGAGGTCGAATTTGATACGAGAGGGATATATCTTCCGTTTAAAACGTTTTGTAGTTCCACTGTAAGATTGGTGTTAGATTGACAGTTGGGAACTTCCTATATGAAACTGACACTATTAAAAAAATCAATGCGACATTGTTTTTATGTTCAATATTCCTTTTAATAAGAACAGCCGTGATGTGCCTGTATGTTCAATATGCATATTATTTAGTATTTATAAAAACAGAGGCTTATATAGTGATAAAAGGTGTTTTTCAAAGACGAACAGATACATATACTAACGCAAATCACATTCATAACAAAAGGGGCATTTAACGCCCCGCGAGCCTTGGGTGAGTGAGTGGACTGCCATGGGTTTATAACGTCACTGATGCATTTAACCCCGTAATATTGAATACTGGATATACGGATGTTTGGAACGCTGTGTGTTAATATACTACCCATCAAAAGTTTAGACTCACTAGTGCAAATGTAGCCACTTACTTCACTCAACTGTTCTAAACTAGATTTTGCAAAATATTCCGCACTGTTTAAAGGTACTGTTTACACATGAACTGATGCATTATAAAACAGATTCGTAACGTTGAAAAGATTATTGTCAAGAGTTCAATAAATGATTAAACTCAGTGAAAATTGGCGAATTCTTTACAAAACTTTACACCAAAACGCAGCTGTTCACATGCACGATATTTTCACATACTTTTCAGCAATTTCATGCATGACCCTCGTGCAGTTCATCTGCATAAAGTTTGCAGCTGGTTCCCCCAAGTTAGTGGAGAAATTCATCTTCGATGTAACCATATATATTTACATAACATATAGTGAGTGCTTTCAGTGAGTCTGAAATTTTGACGGGTAGTATATAAACATGTTGGGTGGATGGTTATTGGTTTAGGTTTTTCTATTTCTTTAAGATGATACTATCGCGCTTAACAGAACATGGTCCTATACAACGGTAGCGCGTCAAACCTTCATCCCGCCGTGGTGTCGTGGATAACGTGTTTGCCAGGAAAGGGGACTGGGTTCATGGTTCGATCCCCGGCAGGGTCATTCTAAAATTCGTTTACAGAAGCATCCGCGAAGATCCGGGTTAGAATTGGGATTCAGAAACCCATGCTTGCCGTAAGGGGCGACTAACGGGATCGGGTTGTCAGGATCGCTGACTTGGTTGACACATTTCATCGGTTCCCACTTGCGTAGACAACATGCTAAACTACAGTTTGGCTACTTCTTGTGGGGTACTTCTCGTCACTATAAAATCGGCATGAGTTCGGGCTTGAACAAACACTTACACAAACAATAATCATATAAATGTTACTGCACCCTACTCATGTGACCAAATATGTCGCATTTATGTTATACATACACACATCGGTGCATGTGGGCGCGCGCGCGCACACACACACACATATACATGTGTATGTGTATGTATATGTATGTATGTATGTATGAATGTGCCTGCGTGCGTGCATGCGTGTGGTATGTATACATTGTGGATGGATGGATGTAGTGTATATGTAGTGCAGGAGTGTGTTTATTGGGTCGTTTCAATTATTTGACTTTAGTCTAAATAGAAACAAATGGAAGCAATGCCCATGACTATTATATGTTTCGCTAATAACTGTATTATCGTATGTGATTGATACTTTGATCAAATCAATACTCAATACTATGACAAATGATTTTCATCACTGAGACACACATATTTGTCATTGAGTAGCTGTTTTCATTAATTGTTTCCTTTCCGACTACTAAATGCTGAGATAGAAATACTTCTTCCTGATAAAATCAGTAGATATTACATTTCACACCATAAGGATCAACAGGCAACTTTTGCTGTTATTTTTCATCACATTGATCCAAGATATTTGTTTTCAGATACATTTAAGTGGGTGAGTTTAGTTTTACACTGCTTATAGCAATATTCCAGAAATATCACAGTGGTGGACATCAGAAATGGGCTTCACACATTCTACCCATGTGGTGAAGTTATTGCTGATGCTATGGCCCTTCATGGAATCCATTTCAAGGGCATTATTGATTGATTATTGATTAGAACCTTTAATGACAAAGTGATTTGAATTGGCACAATGAACTATAAAACTCCAGTGGAGTCATCCCATTGTTTTTACAGGGCCTTGTCTAAAAAGAATAACTTCATGACAGGGACTTTCGACAAAATATCAATCAATCAGAAAGATATTGATTGGAAACATGGGTAACACCTGTAAAGAGGGTTTGGTGTGAATACACACTACCTATGATCAAATGTAATTGTATTCTGTAGCAAAATATGTAACTGGCAACATTTAAAATAAATCAAACTTCACATATGCAATATTTGGATTATAAGTAAAGGACATATTCTACTTCTCATTTGGTTTGACTATCTGGGATTTGAAAGTACACTCTCTGAATGAGGCACTTTATCACCCAGATAAGTATTGGTACTTGACAAAGAAAGTGTAATCCATATACTGTATTGTTTATGCAGAGCTACAGATAACTTTTTAGGTCATTGAGTTATGTACTCGCTTGTGTTCATCTCAATTTGGTATCCTTATTTTAATTTGAGTAACCAAATAAATTGTACTCACCTCACAAAACTCAGTTGGGTATTTTGCCATTTTTCATTAACTTTAAAAATATAATAAAGTTTGAATGTTAGTGTTTGTTTATTTATATTTGATCTGTAATATGAGAAACTATAAGGACTTTCATGTCCTGAAATAGAACCTCTCAGTATACCTCAGTTATTTTATCTATCCACCGGTACAAAAGCAAAGATTTGACATTTTTGTGTGTACCCATGTAAGATCAAATTTATTGAGTATTTACAAAAATTCAAGCGTACTTGTACGCAATAGACTTAATAGGAATTGAGTTTTCACATACAAATTTGTATAATTTACACAGATACACGGCTTATCTGTACCTCTGGTATATGTTAGAGTTTGAAGTGTTTCGATGTTTCCTAAATTTGTATTTTGCTACTGAACACAGTCTACATGACAACATTACAATACTGTATGCAGAAAGATGTAACAGGTAATATTTCAGTGGTATCAGAAATGCAGCCTTCCAACATCGTGAATCACAAGGCTACAGAGATGCTGAAAGATCACAATGCCTTCAAGAGTCTCTTGTTAAGTATTTGAACACTCAATACAAATAACATTCATTCCATAAGTTTCAGAGAAAGTGTGTTGAAAAACATATAATTGTTGATGAATGTTGCTGACAATATTTAGTTTAATGTCAGGTAAAACAGTTACCTACAAGTTTGTTTGAGAATGTGAACACTTTGGATACAAAAATGCCCTTTTATCACCTTTATGTACTCAACTAAACCCTAAGAGTCGTGCTTTATCCTTAACATCCCCATTTTTCGTGGATTAAGGAGCCAGCATTTCCAATTCTACCTTCCCCCAATATTGTGTTAAGAAAAAAGTATTTTTTGGAATACTATTTTATTTCTTACCTCAATGGTTTTCAGACACACATTATTTTTCAGAATAATTACTCTGTGTCAAGTGAAAAAAAATATTGAGTTTTGTGACAATCGAGGGTAAATGATTTTTCGAAGCAGCTTGCCATGACCCTCTTATCATTTGGGGGGGCCATAGTTAGTTGGTGTTTCCAAAACACACCGATCTACACACAATAACCAACATACTATTGTACTGACAACTGTTTATTGTTGCAAAGTTGTTTCAAACACAAACATAACAATGATCATGACAGTGAGACAAATATAAAACAAAGTAATATATCTCACATCACACATCCAGTCATTCATATATACCCCACAATTGTAACAAGCTGGTCATACTTTACATCCTTTTTGTTTGATAAAAAATTGTGTTCATTCACTGATGCTAGTCATTCCCCACCCTCAATGCCACTGTTATACTGGTTCCATCAATCTCCTGGTCGCGGGTGGTGGTAGGTCAGTATAGTTTTACGCCATTATGGGCAATATTCCAGCAATATCACAGCGGGACACACTAGAAATGGACTTCACACATTTCACCAATGTGGGGAATCAAACCCATGTCTTCGGCGTGATGAGTGAACGCTACATCGACTAGGCTACCCCATCGCCACAGCAGTAGTCATGAAAAAATCGCCCCAGTCATGAAAAAATAAACAGTTTAGGATAAAATATAAAGTCCTTTTTATTTTGTCTTTTCAGGAAAGGTCATTAAAAATGTAAAAAGACATATGTCATCCAAAATACGGCAAGCATTAGGGGAAGGGAATTATTTTCTGTCCATTATTTCAGTAAAATCCTCCGACCTCCTTCCTGTAATAAATGACTCACAAGTTTGTTTGTTGTTTACAGTCACACTCAGCTATATGGCCGCAGCCTGTAAATAATCGAGCCTGGACCAGACAATCCAGTGATCAACCACATCTGCATCAATCTACCCAATTTGGATACAATGACGTGTCAACCAAATCAGTGAGCCAGACCACCCAATCCTGTTCATCGCCTCTTACGACAAACAAGGACTAATAAGACTTTTTCAGGCAAATGATACGTCAAAAATCTATCTGTCCATTCCTTGGTGTCATTTAGCCATGATGTCCCGTCCATTTGTGAAGCCAACAGTCCAGATTCCCATCTGCTACATGTCCCACAATTCTAAAAGCTGCTAGCCATGTGACTCAGAAAACGAGATGCAACTTCAGATATTATTATCTACAGACCTAAGTCTCCCATTCTCTGTTAAAAAAACCAGCTGGTTATCGGATGATGTAGACTTATATACTTATCTCGATGTCACACTGATATATGGAACCGTGAGTACATATCTATACCACTCAACGATGAGCACATATAGGTATCTATACCACTCAAAGATGAGCACATATATACTCCCCATTAAAAGTTTAGACTCACTAGTGTAAATGTAGCCACTTACTTCAGTCAACTATTCTGAACTAGATTTTGTAAAATAATCCATACTAAAGGTACTGTTTATACATGAGCTGATGTATTGTAAAACAAATTCGTGACGTTGAAAAGGTTATTGTCATGTGTTCAATAAATGATGAAACTCGGTGAAAAATGGCGTATTTTTATCAAAACTTTACACCAAAACGCAGCTGTTCTAAAGCACGATATTTGTACGTGCTTTTCAGCAATTTGATGCATGATCCTCATGCAATTAATCTGCATAAAATTTGCAGATGATTCATCTTTGTTGTAACCATATGTACATACATAACTTATAGTTATTGACTTAAGCGAGTCTAAACTTTTGATGGGTAGTATAGGTATCTAGACCACTCAACGATGAGTTTGATGGTAGACATTCCATCCATCTGCTGTCCTTTGTCACGTGATCAATGAATGGAGTGAGTGAGTGAGTTTAGTTTTACGCTGCTTTAAGCAATATTCCAGCAGTATTATGGTGGCTAACACCAGAAATGTGATTCACACATTGTACCCATGTGGAGAATCGAACCTGGGTCTTCGGCGTGACGAGAGAAAGTTTTAACCACTAGGCTACCATACTTGGCATACTGCCCGTCACTGACTGGAGAAGAATATCCTGTATCCATGGTGACTGCCCCACAGTACAATCTGATATTTCAACAATGTTGAAACCATTTGTCTATCACTGCATAGGTGTTGAAATATGTTGGTCCATCAGTTAATGTATCTCACAGTGCTTATACAGATCACGTGTACGACAACAGATTGATGTCGTAACAGCCATCCACCTGAAAAAAAAGGGAAATAACCCAAGTCTCATATTGCAAAAATCCTCCAAAATACGGAAATAAAAAATACTTGTCTGAATGCTCTGATCACTTGTACCAAAAATTTAGAAGTTTTAATCGTGACTAGAAAGTTTTCTTGATGAGGCCTCCTATGGTAGGATCTTCACACAGCTTAACAACAATTCAATAATGATTATCTCTGACATTAATACAATATCTATCTCTGACATTAATACAATATCTATCTCTGACATTAATACAATATCTATCTCTGACATTAATACAATATCTGTATCACACTTGGTATTTAACCTTTCCAATAAACAAAGAAACCTTTATGCCAGACACTTTATTTCCTGTATTATGGATCCGCCGGTTGTGTTTGTTCAAGAATGAGAACAAAAAAATATATAAATATTTCCCGCTCAAAAAAACCCATCCTAATGTTAAGATATATGGGAGCGAGACTTCAACTTCGCAAGGCAGTTTGTTGGACACTAAAACACCTGTATCTGTTTTCAGAGACTTTAAACTGAATTATCTAACAATATTTGTGTTAGAAATCAGTGCTTCAAGCGAGTGTGAACTTGAAAAACAATGCCTTTGAAAACTCATGTGGGTTTTTGCTTTGACTGGTGAATTGTTTTTTACCCTACTGCCTTTAGGTTTTTTGAGGACAAAAATCTGTAAAAATTGGTCTGGCCTTACCCAATTCTGAAAACAATTCATTGTAAAGTTTTGGTTAAACAAATTTGATGAGGGACACTTTCCTGAGTTCAAGAGATGTAATTTGTGACTATTCTTCTTAAACAATTCTAAATACCGAAATAACACTTGTACTCCCCTCTCCTATAGATATGGTGGGTCATCCCAAAATAGAAAACAATGCAACCAAGAGTTATTTGCTGAACAAACTTTTCTAAGTTAAAATTTTAAAAATTGCTGTAATTCTTAAAAAAAAATATATCACAATGAAATAAAATGAAAGTATGCACTGAATCGCTCCTTTAGACCAAGATGGTGATACCAAAATACGACAGTAAACTAATCAATAGTTTTCAAGTTAGTGCTGGATGGACAGATGGATAGATGGAAATCCTTGGTGTAATAACACTGATTATATACTATACAGCATATCTACCTTGGCATGAAAGGTACAGTGAACATGATAGTATTTTTAGGGTTTAGTTGTTTAAGTACCTCATATCTTCCCAAGTCAACAGTTGTCTGATTGGCTGAAACAACCTCTGCCAAGGCCCACAACTCTTGAAGGTTTGCGGAGAGAGATTCAAGATTGGGCACACCCTGGAACAAAAGTAGAATCTGAATTACTAAAAGTAATGTAAATAGTACATAAATTATTGTAACAAGCAGATAGTTTCTTTAAAACTCTCATTTGTACATCAACAAAAAACAGTGAGTGAGTTTAGTTTTACGCCGCACTCAGCAATATTCCAGCTATATGGCGGCGGTCTGTAAATAGTCGAGTCTGGACCAGACAATCCAGTGATCAACAGCATGAGCATCAATCTGCGCAATTGGGTTCATGACACAACAAAACACAACACAGCAACAACTTCAAATCTAAAACATACAAAAAAGCTACAAAACAGTAATATTTCATGATCATTTTGAAATACATACAAATAAAAACTGTACACATGCATGCTAATGTAGATCTACCTGAAAAGACCTTGATAAGAAGAAAGTTCATTAATAACACTATTCTAATCTGTTCTTCTGTGTTAGAAAAACTCCTCCTTATATTTCCTAAGTAAAAGCAACTGGATCTCAAATACCACATGATATTCTGTTTCATTCTGTAGAATCACAAACCAAATGACATATATCGGTGCTCAATGGTGGAACTAGAGTTAAAGTAAATGTATTTATATTGCTGTTAACCTCTTTCATGTGGTATTCGGGATTCCTTGGCCATGAACATCATTAGCTGAAAATTATTTTCACTTCTAAGTACAAAATATTAACTGGTCCTACTTGAAAGAGCCCTAGCATTTGTATTCCAGGGTGCCGTTGTTCAAAACAACCTTAGCGCTAAGGCTACCTTAAGTCAGTGTTAAAGTATGGGAGTTACAGTCACCTTAGCGCTAAGATCACTATGTACAACGGCAGCCTGATGCTTTATGGAAACTTAAAGGTAATGCCACTATAAATCTATTATAATGGTTAACAGTAAATTCCCCTGAAATGGTCATAATATCTAACTGTAATGTTGCAGTTTTAATACCAGTTTCTCAGTCACTGCTCTCTCACTAAGGAACTGATAAATCATTTTTATTCATTTTCAGAATTTATTTTTCTTTTTTTTTAAGGGTGTTTGGGAGAGAGGCAATGTCATGTCATGTGATATACAGCTTTGAGAAAATAGCTTCAAAATTTTAGCTATATACAAATCATGTAACATATAACATAGTATACCATAAAAAGAGGGATTTGATAAGACGACATAGACTAATGTTTAGTCTATGAATTAGTGTTGGGAATTGGTTGAAATCTCACAAGTGATGATTGCTTCATTACCAACGAACAATCATTGAAAAAAATTGGTTAGCATCATTTTACAGATTTTCCTATCCAGGTTGTTATTGCAGATATGTATAGCATGATGCAACTTGCTACTTTAAAGTGATGACTAATATATCATGAACATAAACTTCCTTGAGTCTTAGAGAAATATTCAGTCATGACTTTTCAGTTAGTGAAGTGAGTTTTCTAAGAAATAAACATGTTTCCAGGCCCTGACAACTTCGAAGATATGTTCCATTGTCAAGTATTTCAATGACTACAAAAGTAGTTCAAAAATCGTTTATGTTCGATTATGAGAAAATGTGATCGATTGTTTTGTCGTTTGGTCACTGCGACCAATCTTCAATTATTTCAATTAATCGGGAACACCACTACTATGAATATATATAATTTTGATAAAAACAAACAATTTCCATGTAAACTGCAAAAGGAGCCCCAGTGAGATGGGAGCTTCAGAAACTGAACCTGTGGAAATGTGCTTCATTTTGGGCTTTAGTGTTGCAGGGAGGGCTGGGTGGAAGAGAAAATAATATGCTTGAGAGAATATGAGACAGACCAAAGACGACATTAAAGAGAATTTTACAGACAGATCTAAATCAAAATAAACATGTCACGAATATCCCCTTCATTCATTAGAAGCTTTATGTTGTAACTGAGCAACTGAAACGTTTGTAAAATTGGTAGGCGCCAGTACAACTAGCCAGCAAATATGTCAATAATGAATTGGGCACCAGACATGCACCTGGGATATATTTAGAAATACAAACATTTCCATCAACAGCTAATATGCATACAAACTAAGAAATATTGAACATTATATGGTCTGGGAATGAACAGAAAGACAGGGCTTATTTCTACAACCATTAGCCAAGTATTACTTCTAAATTCAGAGCTCCAGGTAGGATTTAGCTCATGTGGGTACTGTACCCACTGTATTTTTGGGGAGTGGGTATTATGAATGTTGAGTGGGTATTTCATTTTCCGTTACCCACTGCTTTCAAATATGTGCGTATTTCAGTCAGTTTCACCTAAGTATTACGTCATTGAGTAAGTTTACTAAGCAGGTATGTTCCGCCTCATGTCATACCTACTCAAAACCAACTTAAATATAATGGAAATGTTTCATACAAATCACTCATCCTATACTGACAGTACAACACTTGTCCTATACTAACAGTACAACTTGATAGCAATCAATGTCTTTTTGATTACACAAGAGATTTTTATAAATATATTCTGTACGCATTTGTTTTAAACTTTTTGCGTATCTAACATTTTAAATGCGTAATTGGTACGCAACAACTATTTTTCAAAAAAGCGTAATTGGAAATTTTCTATGCGTATTTTACCCGGATACGCAGCTTATCTGGGCCTCTGAAATTGTAAAGTGCAGACACATCAATCCAGTGATTGACATCATGAGCATCAAGTTACACAGCTGAGGTACGATGACATGCATCAACCAAGTCAGACCACTTGATCCTGCCTCTAACAACAAGCAAAGGTTGTCAAAAACAACCTCTAACCCAGGTCAAGGGGTGTTCTGTGTTGACAGGTGACTATGTAGAGGTTTGGGTTGGCACGAGGCCAAATTTGCTATCTTGGTACCTGACCCCATACATAGGTATCCACTGTTTTGTCTCAAGTGTTGGGTACAAAATGTCCAATTTGGAATTTATCGACTAAAGTGCTTGCAAACTATTTGATACCCACATAAAATTATCTGAGAATGCATACATAGTTGCCTATGGCTGTTCTATCTTTACTACAATGTAACGTCAGAGGTAATGCTAACATGGTAAGGAAGAAGTGGGAACATTAGTAACTTGTACTGTAACAATGGAGTTTTAGTGTTACTGTTATTGAACAATGTACCACGTGACTAGCCATGGTCCGTCCAGGTAGTCCTGCTAATACAAGTCCCACCCAAGTACCTGTGTTACCTGTCACTGCCGTAGTAGAGATACCTAAAACTGCAGGGGTTCAAAAAAAAATTTAAATGCCACTTTAAGAAAGTAACTTGTCCTGACTAATTATCCACTTGCCCTGATTTTATGACATAATTATGATGATGTAATCATGGAAGAAGAAATCAACATGGTATTTGATGTTAATGTTTACTGGACTATTTATTGAAAAGTGATAAATAGCAAAGAAAGATAACCGACCTATTTCATTATCATTGCGAAATTTAATAGCTACATTTTGAGCAGATATGAAATTAAATCAAAGTTTATTTGCAGTTTGAAACCATAAGTGGAAATTATCTAGTAGCCCACGGACAAGTAAGATACCATTATTTGATTGCCCGAAATGAAAACTGACCTGTCCCGGGCGTCGGGCGATGGGATTTTTGAACCCCTGAACTGTCTACACTAAACTACCTGGGACAGTGAGAAAGGCTACAATATGTACAATGGTATTAAAAAATGTGATTTCTTATCTAATGAATGACACAAGATCAATACATATTGCTGTTCTGATCTGTCACATCAATACATATTGCTGTTCTGATCTGTCACATCAATACATATTGCTGTCCTGATCTGTCACATCAATACATATTGCTGTTCTGATCTGTCACATCAATACATATTGCTGTCCTGATCTGTCACATCAATACATATTGCTGTTCTGATCTGTCACATCAATACATATTGCTGTTCTGATCTGTCACATCAATACATATTGCTGTTCTGATCTGTCACATCAATACATATTGCTGTTCTGATCTGTCACATCAATACATATTGCTGTTCTGATCTGTCACATCAATACATATTGCTGTTCTGATCTGTCATCATCTGTTCTGATCTGTCACATCAACACATATTCACATCAATACATATTGCTGTTCTGATCTGTCACATCAATACATATTGCTGTTCTAATCTGTCACATCAATACATATTGCTGTTCTGATCTGTCACATCAATACATATTGCTGTTCTGATCTGTCACATCAATACATATTGCTGTTCTGATCTGTCACATCAACAGTGTTCACGAATAGCGTCTGAACCTCTGACAAATCTGGCAGATTCGCCAACGGTCAGACAGAAGTCTTCAACCCGCCGGCCCCAGTGTCTGACTGTATATTTCACAATGACTTTGACTGAAGTTCTTTTATGTGACATGTGACACTTCCTTGCTGTTTATAAATCTTATGTTTGTTAATAATTTCAAAGCCAATTATAAGAAATGTTAAATCTGTAATGTGTGTTTAATTTTATTCTATGGGTCCTGTCAATTTTCAATGGGTCAGACAGACATCGGAAACTTACAGGACCCATTGTCCTGTTACTTTGAAACACCATTCGTGAACACTGATCAATACATATTGTTGTTCTGACCTGACGCACCCTGCTGTTCCAAACAATTGCATATGAATTCTGAATGCATACATACAAAATACTGTAACTATTATGAAATTGAAATGCTCTGTAGCTCACCTAAATTTGTCAATATGGGAAAGGAATCTGTTGATAAGAGTAACAAGTGTTACTGTACGCTCAACATAGGCTCAGCTCAGCTTATATAAAGTAAACAACACACTGATAACAAGTCAAGGGCTAAAGTCTGATTGATTCTAGTGATTGCGAATAACAAATTGAATTCATGAAGGGATACAGTTTGATTCAAGGAATACATAAGTGAATCGTAACAGCCCTTACACTTACTACATATTGGTTTTCATAAACATTCCTAAACAAAAGGGTACATCGGATGTTTTCAGTGCCATAAAAGCCACATGTAAAATCAAATCATAAATATGTGTGCAGCTTAAAGACACCATAGTTGGGATCACCATGCACCATTAAAGGCCTTATATATATATATATATACTAATTAGTGGTTAAAGCGTTCGCTCATCACGCTGAAAACCCGGGTTCGATTCCCCTGCATGGGTACAATGTGTGAAGCCCATTTCTGGTGTCCCCCGTCGTGAAATTACTGGAATATCTATCACTCACTCACTCACTCACTCACTCACTCGCCCACCCACCCACCAACTCAGTGATACTTAACCAGTCATGGCATCACGGATTAACTGTAACACTGTAAGAACTCAATGTTCTTTAACTTCCTTTGAACCATATAGTTTAAGGGGAGACTGTAAGGTTTTCAGTGTAAGGTAATGTTTACAGTGGATTGACAAGCAGACCTGCAACAGGAGCTCCAATATGATATATTTCTGTTAGAAGATCTGACGACCCTCCATAAGACGAAGCATCAGTTGAACTTTCTTATCAAATTAGCAGCATGGCTTTTAAACTTCTCCAGGATGAGTGTTGTAAGCTATCAGGAAAGCATATCTCACACTGTATAATGAATTCAAAAAGCCAATGAAACAGGATCACAAATGGCGAGCCATTGACACACATACAAAGGAATATCATCAACAGAATTTTGAGTTCTTAGAGCTTTTCTTGTATAAAAACAAAACTTGAAATTGAGGTGCTGAAAGAAAAGAGAGAAATCTGACATTTGATTGGTTTGCATCCTTGGGGGTCAAAGTCAAGGTTTCACCTTGAACAACACTCCATAGAGGATTTGTCGGATCTCAAACAGAAAGGTATCACATCGGAGTACAAGACCTCACGCTGATGAGATCAGGAACAAGCAGGGTGGTGCAGCACGTCTACTGTGAAGCTGGTGATGTGGTGGCTAAGCCGCTATCTAAAAGCCACTATCTAGGTCGGTGAGGGAGGACCCATGAACTCTTACCCTGGCAACCCTCTTCCCTGACGCTGCAGGGGTCAGAGGTCGTTGTTCGGGCTGGAAGGAACAGCATGCAGTGCTCTTGTGACATTTCATCATAAAATACTGATGTGAAATATATAGCATTGTCACGTGTTTCTCAGCTTCCTGTTTCGGTACATGTGTACCTTCAAACCGTCCAACATCGGCCCTATTTTGTTAAACTGACTGACTGACTGAGTTTAGTTTTACGCCGCTTTTAGCAATATTCCAGCAATATCACGGCGGGGGACACCAGAAATGGGCTTAACACATTGTGCCCATGTGGGGAATCGAACCCGGGTGTTGGTGGCGAATTAACGCTTTAACCACTAGACTACCCCACCGGCCCTATTTTGTTAAAATCTGGGGGGGGGGGTGGTAATACTGGTGTCTATGAAGTAGCAGGATTCCTATTGGGGTTGAACGGGTTGTTGTCGGCATGGGTACTACAGATTTGTACCCCAGGTGCGTTTCTGCATACAGAAAAGAACCCTTATAGCCAAAATGTGAACACAGAGACGTACCCATTCTGCACTGTGTTATTTTCTTGATCTGAACTGTCATACTGTTGTATTAGATATATTTGATTGTGTTACATAAGATATAGGCATACACAGTATCAACTTTTTGTGATGCACAACTGTCCACTCACAATCAGATTTGTTTAAGATACATTTCTGTATACAGAAACATGCCTGAGGTACACATCTGTAGTATCTGTGCCGAATACCTGGTAATGAACATTCAATTCTAGTGATCGCAAATATTGAATTGAATTCATAGAAGGATACGGTTAGATTCACTGAATACGCGAGTGAATCGTGACAGCCCAAGTCAAAAAGGGTCTTACTTGACAATATGGTATCTCACTTGAGAAAAGGCAAGGAGAAACTTTGGGCGTAGAATTATTTTGCAGTTGGGTAGTTTTCCTGCAGTTAATAGGGCCTAGTTTTAAATAAGGTGTCTCGCTGAGGTGAAGTGGGAAGAAGGTTTTTTTTCCAGTAGAGCAGTGGGTCAAGCAGGGGGATGCGAAATAATAGGGGGACCAACCTTGTGGTAGGTGATCAAAATGGGTATCTGTGAAACTACAGTTTTCATTTCATTTTGTAAAATAAATTAAATATAATGCCACATTTTCTGCAAAACATTTAACTTTCTGGTGACAGTATTCAATATATTAAAGAAATATCATTATATTTCTATCAGGTGCTTCATATTCTAGCTCTATCACATCTAGCCTGTGCAGGATAAAAATGCACTATTCTAGGAAAGATAATAAAACGGTCAAAATTATGACCCAAAGCAATCGAAAAAACATCTGTCAAGGGTTGTTAAGATTTGACATGCATGAGGCAGTGAGGTCAGGCTATTCACCATGGCAACCAGACCAAAATACTGATATTAAGTGCAGTTAACCTCTAAACACAATACATATCATGACAAGACTCATGGTCACAAGAATTATCTCCCCTTTATAACATCACAAATTCATTATGTCCCTTTATAGCATCAAATATCAAGCATTATCTCCCTTTAATCAGTTAAAGATGACTCTCACATACATGAAAAACTAACTGTGGAACATTAACTTTCTTGAAATACAGAAAAACCTGCAGCCAAACAAAACAACCAGTCCCAAGGCAACATCAACACACTGTCCAATGAGATATGATATTATGAATACTTGATGGTACCGATGCATATATGTCTGAATTAATGATTTCACAACTTCTGCGTTATCTGCCCATTCAAACAATATGGTAGAATCAGATACTAATGCATTGTTAAATATATCATACAAGTTCCCGAAAATGTGGAAAATCATGAATGTTTACTTCCCCTTCCACAATTAAATAGTCAAAATCAACTTGCCAAAAGTTTCAACATACTTATCCTTCTCTTATCAATTTTAATTAAAATCATTTCTCTTGATACAAAGATCTGGGAAGAAGGCAATAACTGGTGAACTTTCTAATTAGCCAATTAGCCAAAAATGTAACATGTACATGAGGCAGCATGGTTAAAGGATGGTATCACAGTGTACCTAACCCTGCAGTGAGCTCGGCCGTGTGACCTTCAAGCAAACATTGGCCGTGATCTTACCGGAATCTTTCTGTCACTCGGCTCTGTTGGTTCCTCTGTAAGCCAGGCGGGTAGGGGAACGCTTCTTGGCACCTAAACGACACAAGGTACAATCAGTAAGTGAGAGGGGGAATCATTGTTTTCACACTGTAGGATTTAAAGCCATGAACATTCTATCCTGGCTTGCCAAAAGGTTGCAGCTCTGACAACTGGTGTCATAGATTGTTTTTGTTTGCTTTTTAAAGCTACACTCAGCACTGTTCTAGCTATATGGTGGCAGTATGTAAATAACTGAGTCTGGACAAGACAATCCAGTGATTAATACCATGAGCATCAGTTTATGCAGTTTGGATACAACGTCAATTGTCAACCAAGTCAGCGAGTCTCATACCCCAACCCGTGTCACCTCTTACAACAAGCATGGGTTCCTGAGACCAATTCTAACCCGAATTTTCACAGGTACTGATGTCATCGACACATGTAATATCATAGGTGGATCCAGAAGGGGGTGCAAGGGTGAAAAACACACACACACACGACCAGTCCAGGGACCAATAGGTACTATATTTAAATGTCTTTTGGTATGACGTGGTTGGGGATCGAAACGGCGACCTTCCGCTCTCCCAGGCAGAGGCTCTTACCACTACACCACGGAGGTGATCCCTATATAGCCTAAACACAGTAAAGTAGTTTCAACACACAACTGTGCACCCACCGCTGACGTCCGGAACACCTTCAGCTCCTCTAGTTTGAAGTCTCGCCACACCGGCGACGGCTGCTGCAGGATGAAGCGTAGTGCGGTCAGGTTCACCAAGTCAAACAGAAGCTGGGGAGAAAAGAATTCGTTACAGAATGCAGGGTGTATAGACTAACACTTAATTTCTTATAATTTTGACACAAATAAGTCCTTTTTAAATGAAAAGAAGACCCAATGGGACAGGAGATTCAGAACCTGAGGAAATCATTTTGGGCTTTAGCATTGCATAAAGGGATGGGCGGAAAGGAAAATAATTCAGTTGGGGACTGTGAGACAGACTAACAGGGTGTACATCGTCAGGAGAAATCACTGCAACCGAAAGTCATGTTTAAGTTATAACTGATGATGTCCATTAATTGTTTTCAGAAAAGAGTATTATGATGTACACTTTCTATTTGACAATGTAATTTTGAATGCACATTATCACATAGAAAAACGCTCTCATGACTCCCTTTGACTTGTAAACAAAATTATAAACGACTCCAGTATCTGTGGACATGAGTTAGCACATATCAGATGGACATTAGTTAGCACATATTATGAATGGGACTTTGTTTTTTAAGTTGTATAAGTCCTCAAAGTCATGACTATATTTTAACATGGGACTTGTTCTTGGCCAAACACGCCACCACCACCACCATCATCATCATCATCATCATCATCATCATCATCATCATCATCATCATCATCATCATCATCATCATCATCATCATCATCATCATCATCATCATCATCATCATCATCATCATCATCATCATCATCATCATCATCATCATTCTCATCATCATCATCATCATCATCATCATCATCATCATCATCATCATCTCAAAACACTGACTTACATGTTTACGGGTCAGGCTGAAGTAGTCCTGGGATCCGGACTCTGTGTGTGGTCTGGGCATCAACTTCATGCGACGCAGACATGTCCGCCATTTCAGTTCACCTGGATCAAGTGAAGCACATGCAGATAGATGATAGATTCTGTCAGACGAGCAAGAAACACTGAATATTTCTGCAATGACTGTATCAATTTGGCACAATGAAATTCTACAGGCATACATGTAATTTGAAAGCAAAGTATTTGTACTAAATACTGTGGCCAATTTCAACCCCGGGGCGCACGACATATTGCAGGGAATAAAATGTTTTTTAAAAACGAAATATATCAACTCACCTGGTTCTCCATTGTTCTCGGCTGAGCGGAACTTGGCTCTGAGTGTGAGGATGCCGACATAGTGATTCTTGAAGCGTATCTCCCCCACCTGAAGATCATACAGAGTACTCAAATACACACCAGTATGAAATCAGACATGAACAAGCACATACCTAACATGCACATACTGACAGTGATAGAGTGAGTGAGTGAATTGTGTTCCATACCTGCATTGTCAACAATACTACAACCATGATAGCCAGCGTACAGTATTTAAAGGAGAGATTTTTATGGATGTTAACTTCTTTATTTTCTCAAAATAAAGAAACTGACATCATCTTATCACCTGATGACGGAGTAAGGATATACTCCGAAACGTGTTCCTCAACATGAAGAAGTTGACATCATCATATCACCTGATGAAGGAGTAAGAATATACTCCCGAAACGTGTTCCTCAACATGAAGAAGTTGACATCATCATATCACCTGATGAAGGAGTAAGAATATATACGTGTTCCAAACATGAAGAAGTTCCTCAACATGAAGAAGCTGACATCATCATATCACCTGATGAAGGAGTAAGAATATACTCCAAAACGTGTTCCTCAACATGAAGAAGTTGACATCATCATATCACCTGATGAAGGAGTAAGAATATACTCGAATTCAAGCGTGTTCCTCAACATGAAGAACGAGTTCCTCAACATGAAGAAGTTGACATCATCATATCACCTGATGAAGGAGTAAGAATATACTCCAAAACGTGTTCCTCAACATGAAGAAGTTGACATCATCATATCACCTGATGAAGGAGTAAGAATATACTCCGAAACGTGTTCCTCAACATGAAGAAGTTGACATCATCATATCACCTGATGAAGGAGTAAGAATATACTCCGAAACGTGTTCCTCAACATGAAGAAGTTGACATCATCATATCACCTGATGAAGGAGTAAGAATATACTCCGAAACGAGTTCCTCAACATGAAGAAGTTGACATCATCATATCACCTGATGAAGGAGTAAGAATATACTCCGAAACGTGTTCCTCAACATGAAGAAGTTGACATCATCATATCACCTGATGAAGGAGTAAGAATATACTCGAAACGTGTTCCTCAACATGAAGAAGCTGACATCATCATATCACCTGATGAAGGAGTAAGAATATACTCCGAAACGTGTTCCTCAACATGAAGAAGTTGACATCATCATATCACCTGATGAAGGAGTAAGAATATACTCCGAAACGTGTTCCTCAACATGAAGAAGTTGACATCATCATATCACTGATGAAGGAGTAAGAATATATGAAGCGGTTCCTCAACATGAAGTGACATCATCATATCACCTGATGAAGGAGTAAGAATATACTCCAACGTGTTCCTCAACATGAAGAAGTTGACATCATCATATATCACTTGATGTTCCTCAAAGGAAGTACATCATCATATCACCTGAAACGTGAAGAAGACATATCCTCAACATGAAGAACATGAAGAAGTTGACATCATCATATCACCTGATGAAGGAGTAAGAATATACTCCGAAACGTGTTCCTCAACATGAAGAAGTTGACATCATCATATCACCTGATGAAGGAGTAAGAATATACTCCGAAACGTGTTCCTCAACATGAAGAAGTTGACATCATCATATCACCTGATGAAGGAGTAAGAATATCATCATATCACCTGATGAACGTAAGTTCCTCAACATGAAGAAGTTGACATCATCATATCACCTGATGAAGGAGTAAGATATATACTCAACGACATCAAACCGTGTTCCTCAACATGAAGAAGTTGACATCATCATATCACCTGATGAAGGAGTAAGAATATACTCCAAACGGTTCCTCCGAAACGTGTTCCTCAACATAAAGAAGTTGACATCCATACAATGCTTGCCTTTATGTGGATCAGTTCTAAATGTCGTTCAAAGATTTTATACAGTAACAAGGTGTATTTCTGCAGTATTTGGGAGTTTGTAAAGGTTGCACCTTGATGTATACAGAAGGAAAAAGGTTAGGAATCATGAATATTTGAGGGGATATATCTTGTCCTGTAGACTGAGTACAAAGAGTTTCAAATAATATCCACCAAAATATTTTTGATCCTGAAAAAAATTGGTAACTATAAGAACCAGCATTTGATATCAGCACAATGTGTATAGCCGCACATTTACTGTGAATAAAATTTTTGTTTACAGCCCCCTAAAATGAACTTTGAAATTATTGGATATTGAATCTCATTAATATCAGGTGTAGTCTGATGCAATACCACTCTGCATTATCTGACATCATCTTAAAAAATTATTCAAAAAGTCTGACCCGTGAAGATCCGGGGTAAAATTGGTCTTCAGAAACCCATAATGCTTGTCGTAAGAGGCGATTAATGTGATCGGGTGGTCAGGCTTGCTGACTTGGTTGACACATGTCATCGTATCCCAATTGCATACATCGATGCTCATGATCACTGGATTGCCTGGTCCAGACTTGAATATTTACAGACCGCCACCATATAGCTGGAATATTGCTGAGTGCGGCGTTAAACAACAACCCAACCCAAACACCAACCAACCGATCAAAAAGTCAAATGGAACAAGCATGGCAAGCATGGGTTGCAGAAAGACCGATTCTAACCCAGATCTTCATGGGTTCATATCTATAAGTTATTCTCCTCATGAAGCTGAAATGGACAATGTGTCAGGTGAATACACATCAACAACAAAGCTCTAAGAATACGATACATTCTACTTGTGTGTGTCACACAACAATATAAACATGGCAGTGTTAGTCACGAGGTACATCAGGCAGATACGACACTGATAAGATGATGATGCTTTACCTGAAACTCAAAATGAAAAACAAATTCCACATCTAGTTAACAGTGTTAAATAAAGTAGCTAGTTTGTAATGAAGAGTTACTACCTACCTGACCAACAGCTATGAGAAAATGTCTTCATGATTTTGTTCATTGCATATGGAACAACTCAAAATATCATTAAAATCTGTCTTAGTGCATCCTATCCCTACACAAAGAAGTAACATTGGCTAAGGTATGATTGAAAACAATTAGAATATTTTTTTTTCAATCACAGCCTGTTACCTTCCTGACAGGTCTAATGGCTAAGTTCAAATTTTACATTGCATTGGCCACATTGCATGATCTTATTAGGCCAGACCAATTTTATTTCTTGTTTTATGGATCCGCCTGTCATATTTTTTCAAGAATAAGAAAAAAAATTAAAATTAATTTTCCCCGCTCAAAAAATAAAATCCTAATGTTTTTATGGGCCAAAAATGTAAACTTACAAGAAAATTGTTTTTAAATTGTTTTTTCCCCATATACACTTCATAAATTGCCAAAAGTAAAATACTTTGAGTATTTAGAAGGAATATTACTTTGACTGGTGATTTTATTTTTATTTTGTTCCCTCCTGCCTTTAGGTTTTCTGAGGACAAAAATCTGTAAAACAAGAAATAAAATTGGTCTGGCCTTATCTTCAACTTCATGTCATTCATCCATGACATAAAAAGATATGTGGATTATTCTTATCATCAAAGCAATGTTTACCGTCATCAGGATAAAAAATTCTTAAGACATTTAAGGTTAATGGATCCACATCCCATGTGTAAGGCCCAATTGTTAGAAAAATTATACCAACACCTGTCAACAGTGCTGTTACAGTAGGTCTCACTGGTTTGACAAACATAACCCAATACTTCAATAGCTGGAATTTCAAATAGGCAAAACACATACCACATACTGAGAATTATTTTGTATCATATCTATCTCACTAAAAAGATAACACGGCTTTGGTAAAAGTTCAAAAAATGAATAATTCTAGCAAATGAATTAAATCCATAACACACAGTAGAAGACTAACTACCATCACAAAAACCAGGTCCCATTCAAACCAACACAGAGAAACCAAATACAGTTAGAATCACTTCTAGGAAACTTAAGCCAGGGGCTCTGTAGCTCACCTTTCACAAATCAACATACACTGAACTTGAAGTTAAGGATGATACAATGTATTTTGTAACTGCACCTACGCACAGATCATTTGATATTTTGTATTCTGGAAAGGCAGAGGGCCTGGATTTTCTATCTAGACTGGATACTGTTTTCAAGAACAACTTTAAAACCAGTCAGGGGTGGAAATAACCCATTGCCCGATGTTCGAGTCCAGTGTTTTTTTCTGTCAGGCAAGCAAATTTGTATATCACACTGTACCGGTGTCCAGTTGACTTTCCAATGTTAATTATGTTATTTATTTAAAAAATCAAGAAGAAAACGGTCGGTATAGTGGAAACATTATCAGGGCAAGTGACTTTACATGTGCCACTGTACCGGAGTACACTATCAATTTTAAAGTTATTTCCACCCCTGCCAGTTATAATTTAGGCAATTTGAAGTTCTGAACTGTGAAATAAAAACTCACAAAACTGATCTTTAAACAATGTTTTGGCAGGAGACAAGTTCCTTTCATATTTTAACGGTCTGAAGTATAATTGGTTCAAGAATTTTCCAGGACAATAAACCTTGGGATAAAATCATGGGCATCAATATCCTAGAATATGAAATGATCAGTACCTTGACTCATCAACCAGATGCTATATTGATGCAATACGAATCATACACTGTAGTTCAGAACCTACGGAAATTTTGATTAAGCATTTATCAGTGTCAGTCGTGTTACAGGATACTTCATTAATCTCAAAGAAATCTTATCTGTCTACACCTTACGGATTTTAATTTGTTGATACCTTGACAAATATTTAGCATCCCTTATTGTCAAAACTCCATGCAAAATGTTCAGGTTAACTCCAATAACAGAAGATGAAAATATTAAGCATTGTGTACTGACGGACAACACACATCAATATAAGCACATATGGCCCTTTGGGCCAGGTGAGCTAACAGAGGAAGGATAGAGAACCTATGAAGATCTATGTAACCTATGTATAGACTAACATACACATCCATCTAAAGAACAACTAGTTATATCTACATACCTTCACCCCTTCATCCTTAAAACAAAACACAAATATTCACTACAAGCACTTCACTAGACAAGGAAACTGCATTCATAGAAACATGTCTGAAGAATAGAGTTCATCATATATTTATAATCTACTTTCACACAGATATGCAGACATTGAAATGTGAATTCTTGGTTTCACCCTGGTCAAAATATTTGCAAGTCCTGGGTACTCTTGGCTATACATTTAGGGCTTCCAGAGTGACTGCTAGTGAGTGAGTGGTTTTACTCCACTTATAGCAATATTCCAGCAATATCACAGCAGGGGACACCAGAAATTGGCTTCACACATTGTACCAATGTGGGGAATCGAGCATGTTGTGACTGAGGCATCGATCTACGCAATTTGGATACAATGCGATGCATCAACCAAGTCAGCGAGCCTGACTAACACACTCGCCTCTTACGACAAGCACTGGTTGCTGAAGCCCAAATCTAACCCGGATCTTCACTGGTCATCATGTAATCCTATGTGAATCAATATTTGGTTGACAGTATTTCAACAATACCTTCTAAGGTCTCACACAGAAACCTTCGAACACAGTTCTCTTTGGGGTTCATCAACAAGTGAGTGAGTGAGTGAGTTTAGTTTTACGCCACACTCAGCAATATTCCAGCTATATGGCGGTGGTCTGTAAATAATCGAGTCTGGACCAGACAATCCAGTGATCAACAGCATGAGTGTCAATCTACGCAATTGGGAACTGATGACATGAGTCAACCAAGTCAGCAAGCCTGACCACCCGATCCTGTTAGTTGCCTCTTACGACAAGCATGGGTTACTGAAGATCAATATTCTAACCCGGATCTTCACGGGTCATTCATTAACAAGTACAATCCATACATTTTCCAAGTTTTTGCAAGCTCATAAAATAAACAGATAAATTAAAATAAAACTGCATATCAACTGCTTATTACTAAATGATACATTTAAATATATAAATAAAAACTGAGGTGTCTACATAATAACTCTTTGGTTAAAATCAGTGAGGATCAGAGAAATATGAGAATTGTAGAATTACTTTGATAAATTCATTTTAGAACTACAAAAAGATTAACAGCACCAAGGCAGAATTTATAAATTTTGTTTTATACCAAAGAAAAATATAAACAAAAATTTTGGTTAAGTGCATGTGTGAAGTAATCATCTGGCTTTGTGTATCAATCAAATCTCAGCAGACATTTTGTATCAAAACCAAACACTTTTGTTAAGTGCATGTGTGAAGTATTAAGCTAGATGTATTCATGAACAAATATGGTTGGAGCTTGGTGGAGAATGCACAAAACTTATTGACATCAGTTGTGTGTTGAATAAAAAAGTTTAAACTAAACCCACTTTGTGGTAGTGAAAACTGTTATGGTCTGGTGTGTAGATGAAAAAATATGATATGCAACAAATAGGTTTTGTTCTTTTATTGTATTTTTTAACATGACACAGAGCAATATGCCATGACAGTGGAATCTGTAGATATTCTAGTCGGGACTGGACAATCCCATGGTGGTTGACATGCAGGTAACTAGGTCTGTATGGCAGCAGTCTGTAAAGAATCAAGTCTGGACCAGACAATCCAGTGATCAACAGCATGAGCATCAATTTACCCAATTCGGATACGATGACAAGTGTCAACCAAGTCAGCGAGCCTGACCACCCGATCCCGTTTGTCGCCTCTTTCAACAAGCATGGGTTGCTGAAGACCAATACTAACCCGGATCTGCACGGATTCAGTTAACAAAGTCACTGAACCTAACAACGATATTCACTTGGTCACTACCTGCATAGGTTGTTGGGGACCTATTCTAACTCCATATCCCAAGAGAGTGACAAAAATAGGTTAAAAAATCAACATGCAAATCTGATCTTGCATACTTCTCCATGGGTTGTTGCCAATTTTCTATCAAGATGAAATAGTCATCTAGAATAATTATGGGTTTTCAGTAAATTCTACATTAAACAGCTCTAAGGTTTATCTACACCTTCAAATAGCTTGCCATTCAGCCCCAGAGCTGCAGCAGCATCACTAAGAATTCCCAAATGAGAATTCAAAATGTCCCTGTACATGTAATGGTGACTTTGAGGACACTTGCATTTTAATGACAACCAGGTTAATTAAGCGGATGTGGCTTTTTCGTTAAGTTCACATTATTGCAGCAAATGCAGTGTTAAAATACCTCAGAAATAATGAAACACACTAAAACAAACCCTATTTCGAAACAAGGGGTTTGAACAAATTGGCTCCCAAAGAATAGTCCTTGACATCATAATATTTAGGTAAAAGACAAAACGGCTGTAAAGGTACTAGAATCAAACCTGATCATTGCTGCTAATTAAAATGTGATTACACAACTTCACTGTAGCATCTGTAATATGGAGGGGAAGAGTATATCATTGCATATTGACATAACTGTAAAAAATTACGTGCATTGTAAAATTCACTCATTGCAGGAAAACTGTAATACATACCACTTCCTCATCCTGTGATGCATGAAAGACACACCAACATGGACATTTAGCAACATAGAGAAGGCAATTGGCATGGCCTTGATCATGTCGATATCAGGCTACAAGTGCACACAGACTTGTTAATATCATGTGTTGCTATACACACAACAGCCACAATATTAAGATTTTAAAAGCACTGGACAACAAGTTATGTGTGCAAATCACAACAAACAATTGAAAAATACAAAATGTCGAGTGATGTGAAAGTAGTACTGGCTAGACAGAATGATCCCACTGACAGAACTAAGACATAACCACAGAGTCTTGTAACGTAAGAAAATGGCATCAAGGTATATACTGTTACTGAGGTAGTCTTAACAATATATAACAGGACCCCAATTTTATATAGTTAGTGACAGTATACACCTTGATGCCAGTTGTTTTGCATCACAATCCCCTGTGGACATAACATGATATTTATAATAATTAGATGAATGTAGTAAACCACAGGGACAGATTATGTTTTTATGGCAAGCTTACACCAGGACGTAAAAACAAAACTCTCTGAAGCGTTAATGCATTGGACAATGTAGGATAATTAGTACAATTATATGACACATATGCGAGTGTCGCATTAACAATAACTATGTTTTTAAGAATCTAATACATCCTCGTGTCACAGGTTTTCAAACTCTTAAGAAATCTGTTCTTGTCTCGATTATCGCATGAAAAATGTAAAACATGACACTAACATATAAAAGATAACTTTATACAAAATAAAAGCCATCATTCAAGAATTTACAATTTCTGTGTGATCATGGTGATGGAAATTCCTTGTTACAACCCGTGTTAGCACTGTCGAGAACGTATGACGTCCGAAAATATCGTTCGATGATCCACTTTCAAGTGCACCATTTTGATGCCGTTACGCTGTTGTTTTTGTTTCACCAATAGCTCGCGGGTCCAGTTTATTGTTTCTGACACCCCCAATAGTAGGGGGTGTTGATACTAAACCGGGGCCTAATTATCGATTCTGACCCGCAGTGGGGGCCTGTGCACTAACTTTATTAATCAACAAGCTGAACAGTACTGATATTGTCATGCTTTAATTGTTTCAAGATACCCGCATTTCGAAGTTTGCATTTCCTGTACAAATATATTATAATATTATCAATAATGGTATACTTACCTCTGGATGAATAACATTTGGGAACGTCACGTCGAACACCTTGCAACCCGAATGAAATTCAGCCTTTGGATCACCAACAAACAACATCACTGGGTTCTTAACATTACTGTGCAATGGTTTCTCCGTCATTTTGTTGCAATTATTGTGAATTTTACTTGTTTTTAAATGTGTCAGACGATAAATTCCAATCTCCCGTGTTGTCAGGGAAGCTTTGACCAACAGAGTTGCCTCCCTTTAAAAAGAATTTCACGCACCTGTGTGAAAAGCCCCTTTTTTAATTTAACTCACATTTGATGGATGTGTTAGGGTTACTTCCGCGAATAAACTTGATGTGTGATATTTTGGTAATTTTGTTTTAGTTATTTATATTTTCTCGAAATATCGCGGCAGGGTGTGTACGATTTTTATCCAAAATGGCGGACGACTATGATGAGCCGATCTCTGACCAAGAACGTGTAAGAACTAATTATTTAATTTGATTTACGTTTAATTGCGTGATTAAATTCATCGAAACGACATAAATGAATATAAGTAAAGGGTTTTGTAATCCATGGCACTGTTCAAAGGTTTAGAGACCCGCATATGACAGGGGGTCGACCCCACTGGTCTGCACTTCCGCCTCGACCGGCTTACTTTATCATGGGCGTGTTCATTAAATATTGTTTTCCGGACACAGGGCTAGGACCTCTAAGCAAGATACCGTCTGTTAAATTCCAAAATTTAGAATGAAGGCCCCCAAAACGAAGATGCTATGCATATATATGAGAAGATACATAAGTCAACGCGTAATGTTGTATTCGGTGTCAATGACATCATCAAGCCAAAGTGGCTGAAGTGTCAATCGGAAGTACACAGTCACCCTACTATCGCCTACGCTCTATGCAGCATGTTAAGAGATAATACTAGGAACACCTCCAGTATTCTTTTACTACATTACTAGACATAGCTATAAAGTTAGTAGCAGACATGTCACTAGATGCTTTTTAGTTTGTTTGATTATTTTTTCAAAACATCACAATGTTTTCTATGCTGTCCTTTCATCTCTTTCCTGTCTATTCGAACGCATTTTGAAATCAAAACATCTTAAATGTTAGTATCACAATGGTAATTGATAGAGTTGTATCAAAAGTTACAATTATTTCTGCCATCCATCATCTGTTTACATAGAAACCAATAAGTTTACCATGTTTACAAATTACATCGGAAATGCAAGGGAAATAGACATACCAAACATGCATAATTGGCCATGAACCTGAGTAGTAAAAACTTTCCTTGGAAATCTTTGACAAATTGATATAGCAGATGTCAGAACAGATGCGTTAGAGACCACATTATATACAGGAAACTGGTTGCAGATAGTTTCAATCTCAGGAAACAGGTGCTCATTTCATAATTTCAGTTTGTTGTTATTAATGTAAATGTTTTCAAGAAGAAGAAAATCAGGATGAATTTGAGAAAACACACAATATACTGGCATTTTCCGATAATCAGTTGTAAATATGTGTACCACTATGCATATACATGCTTATGCTTACAGACAATTTCCATATACCAATATACTGGTAAAGCGATACATCTTTAAGTGTAAGAACACCCAGAATATTTCTTTGATCATCATTCTAGAAGTTGGTAAACGAATAATGAAGCATGCAACTTGATGGATAACATCACTTCTACTTGATAATGATGTAAGAATCTGCATTAAAACACTTCGCTATGCACAAAGTTGTTATCCACAAATATGGTAATCTTTATTACTGTTTGTTATGATTGATCTTCCGTATACCGTATCCCATTATGAATTCCATTCATTATTTGTCAGAGCTACAGAGAACTTTTTGGGTCATTGAGTTATGTACTCGCTTGTGCTCATCTCAATTGGGTATCCTAATTTTCCTTTGAGTAACCAAATAAATTGTACTCGCCTCGCTCAAACTCATTTGGGTATTTGTCATTTTCCATTAACTTTAAAATTATAATAAAGTTTAAATGCTAGTGTTTGTTATTTAAATTTGATCTGTAATATGAGAAACGATAAGAAAGACTCTGCAAGTTGCCAAGTTCATGTCCTGGTATAAAACCTCTCAATATACCTCAGTTATTTTATCTATCCACCAGTACGCAAGCTAAGAGTTGACATGTTTGTGTGTACGCATGTGAGATCACATTTATTGAGTATTTACAAAATTCAAGCGTACTTGTACTAGTGGTGGTCCGATTAATTGAAATGATCGAAGATTGGTCGCAGTGACTAAACGACCAATCAATCGACCATGTTTTCTCATAATCAAACACAAACAATTCTGGAACACTTGTTTTCATTAACAATATTTTTCACAAGGTGGGTTTTGTCTGTTACATTTCATAAGCACTACAAGCAGTGTTCACGAATAGCGTCTGACCCTCTGACTAATCTGGCAGATTCGCAAACAGTCAGACAGAAGTGTACAACCTGCCAGCCCCAGTGTCTGACTGTATATTTCACAATGACTTTGACTGAAGTTGTTAGATGTGACATGTCACACTTGGTTGCTGTTTATACATCTTATGTTTGTTTATAATTTCAATGCCAATTATAAGAAATGTTAGATTTGAAATGTGTGTTTAAATTTATTCCATGGGTCCTGTGAATTTTTAATGGGTCAGACAGACATCTGAAACTTACAGGACCCAATGTCCTGTTACTTTGAAACACCATTCGTGAACACTGACTACAAGCTCGTTCCAAGTCATGATTGAATTTATCTTAAAGACTCCAAGAAATGTATGTTCCTAACATACTAGTCATCCTTTAAAGATGTGAAATTTTGCCAAAAAACCCCAAAGAACTATGTTTTTTTCCTTATTGTTTTTTTTTTTTCATGAACAAATTTCATAAATGACAGTGACAATTATTTTTGATGATTGATCGGTTGTAATGAACCAATCATCAATTATGAGATTTTAACAAATTCCCAACACTAACTTGTACGCAATAGACTTAATAGGAATTGAGTTTTAGCATAAATATTTGCTTAATTTACACAGATACGCAGCTTATCTGTACCTCTGATTTGTTGTCACTAGAATCGATTATTCATTATTATTACAAAAGCAGTGTATCCCTATTGAATAGATAATAGATAAATGCTCATGATGTAGATCAGTGAATAGTCTACTCCAGACTCAATTATTTACTGACTGCTGCCATATAGGTGGAATATTGCTAAGTGCTGCTTTAAACAACAAACAAACAAAATCGTATGCATATTATATGAGATCATTCACAGAAATAAAGAATTTATTTGAGAAACAATTAATAATACAGTAATATTCCATTTTTATTGAATTGACACAAAAAGTTTTGAAACTATTTCTGCTGGTATCCAAGATTCAGTATGTTTCTGCTTATGTTACTGATCATAAGATTTGCATGACTTGCCATTACGTTAATAGGGACCGATTTTGCTAAACCCAGGCTGCACCAGTGAGGTAAAATATTGCTAGGGCAGGTAACTTATATTGTCAGGATGAACCCAGTGCTGGTTACATTTTCCTCCAACATTTCACGACACCAGTGTTATTGGTAGAAACTTCCTGTATTATTTATTTGAAATAGGTTTAGTTCTTTTGTGTGAATCAATTACCGGAAGTGAAACATGTTTACAAACAAGTCTATTTTCATGCTCATAAATCAGATATGTAGATCACACACTGTGTACTCAGTCTGGTGACATTGATACCTCACTTGTAATGGTGGACTATTTCATTTTACAGAGTGGAAAAGAAGTTAAATTTATTAATGAAAATGTCAGTTAAAAAGCAACCATGTATCAAAATTTTTCAGACATGGATTAATGTGAGTCAGTCAGTCAGTCAGTTTAGTTTTATGGCACACTCAGCAATATTCCATGTATATGGCGGCGGTCTATAAATAATCGAGTCTGGACCAGACAATCCAGTGATCAACAGCATGAGCATCGATCTGCGCAATTGGGAATGGGTGACATGTGGCAACCAGGTCAGCGAGCCTGACCACCTGATTCCATGTGAGCTTTTATGGAGATAGTGAAGTTGGCTGTCAATATATTTCTCACTCTGTTAATAAAGATTTTCATCTGTTGTCATGTTGACATCAGGATGCATTGTGTCTACAATGTGACAACAAGAGAGAGGTAATTCAGTATTGGTTAGTTGCATGAGCAGACACACCTCACAAACTAAAAGTGTTCAGCCTCCATGAAACTGTTTATATTGTTAGACATGATAGACAGCACAAGTTTGTTATTCTTCATGTTCATAGTCATATGATAAGGCCACATGACTTGATCTAAGATGCCTGACAATCTAAATAAGTATAAAAACCTTCAGTTATAACAAATTAAACTTTGTGGTCCCTTTTGTTCATTATAACCATAGTTTACTGTAAAGTTTAGAGCAGGTCTGTCACGTCAAGTTGTACAGACTAGCATGGTCGACATATAGCTGGAATATTGCTAAGTGCGTCGTAAAACTAAACGCACTCACTCACTCCTGCATGGTCGAATGGATAGAGTGTCTACTTAGGGAGCAAAAGGTTGGTTGTTTGTTCCCCCCATCCACATGATGCCAAAACACTATGAGAAAAGGTACTTGTTCTTACCCTGCCTAAAACAAGTACTGGTCATCTCAGAGTGACCGAGTGGTACAACACACAACACAACACAACACATCACACCTTTGTGTAAGTGCTATCATCTGGCACTCAACATTCTTTTAAAGGGACACCACACCTTGCGCCACGCCGCGCCACGCCGCGCCACGCCACACCATGCACCGCAACGCAGTGTAAGGACTATAATCTGGCACACAACATTCTTGAAAAGGAACTTCAGATGCATATGAAACAAAATTGTTAAAACGCCGATGAAAAACCGCGAAATCGGAGTTCAAACGCTTTGACTAATTTTCCCCAGACTTTTCTGGGGAATATGGTTTCAACAGCTGGGCTGCGCTTCATAGCACGCAAGAGTGAAATAAGTTCGCACGAACTTGGAAGCCGGGCTGTCTGGTGAATACATCGGTGAAGGCTTTGGTGTGAGCCATTTTCATAATGTTTTGTTGATATCTCACAGGCCGAGCTTTTATATGTAATGACAGTAAATAAACTGTTTATATAATTTCATTTGTCTATTTCACCACACGCTCTTTTTACCGCAGTCACTTTCTCAGTTCCGATACTTAAAAGCAATGTCATTATTTAGCGTTGACACCATTTCTAACTGTAATATAGATATGTCGCTGTCACAGACAAAACTCAATGTCTTGTTTTATTGACACCTGTGTGTCTGCCTGCCTGTCTGCTAATGACAATATTCAATACACAACTGCGCATCACTGACCACATGCAATTTGAACTTAACACCAATCAGGCTATACACCATAAACAAAACGCATTGATTTATGGCCCGAGTTCGGTCTCTGTCACATTATGTAA